AAAACTCACCTGATACCATTTTTTACAATTTTGTTATACAGAGTTTCCAAACCTCTTGCCCTGAACTTTCCCCCAAGCATCATTTACAACTAACTACCTGTTAGATACTGAATTCTAAATTTCACGTTCTGGAAAATACCAATTATACTTTCCAACCTATCAAAGCTAGAAATTTGGATTATCCTGGACTTCTCTCTCTCTCTCTCTCTCTCTCTCTCTCTCTCTCTCTCTCTATATATATATATATATATATATATACACATACAACAAATTAACTCTGTGTATTTCAATTTCTAAAACGTGTATCAATCGCTCCTTCACTCCTATTGTCTGTCAGTGATTCATTCAGACCCTGACTGTCTCACCCACTTTATTAGAATAAGAGACTCTATCATTGCTTCATCCACCTTCCTCTCCAGTCCATGTTCACACTATTGTCAAAACAAGCTTTCTAAAGCAAAATCCTTGTGTGTTTTCTCCTTGCTCCCAGTGGCTTCTGCACAGATAATGGTGAAATACTAGTAAGCAAGACCCTATTCAAGGCCTTTCATGAACTTGGCTGAAATTGTTCTTTCTATACGTAACTCCTGCCACTTTTCTCTTTCTTTTCCCAAGCACTTACTACTTTGTGATATGAAAATGTTTATAAAGCCCTAGTTCATCTCCACAACTTGAAAATATATGAAAAGATGAAAGAAGATTTTAAAAACTGGACAGAAAAAGTGGTTCCCATGCTGTATGTTCCACTCCAGACACACGGTGGTGCCATCTTGGCGGCCTCAACAGCAGCGCAGGAGCTAACCTGATGTAAACACACTGTAAATTTGTGGAAGTGCTCACGATGGCTATCGTGATGTTTTTTTAAAAAATTTATTAATGGTCTGCTAGTGTTAAAAATGTCCCATGATATTAATAACTTCAAAACACAAGTTAGAAGAGACAGTTACATGGAATGGGGGAAAGTAGGTTCACAGTTGTGAGGGCAGAAAACAGAGTTTATTCTTGCATTATTTATTAATTATCATTATTATTTACTTCTGTTATGACTGCAAACCTACTTTTGCCCACCCCTGCATATATACTGTATACTATGTTTTTTTTTAATGCACACATACCTTTTCACTTATAGGAAGCTCTTATGGCTTCTTTTTAGCCTATCTGAATTATGAGCATCGTGGCTCCTGTGCTATGGGCCCATGATTAAGTAAAGAAAAGAAAGAAAGAGTCACTTGAACGCAAGCACTGTGATGCCACTGTCAATTGATCTGACAGTGAACATGGCCAAGTGACTAACAGGCAAGCAGCATATACGAAGCATGGATACACCGGACCAGGGGATCACTCACAGTCTGGGTGGGTCAGAGACTTGAGATTTCACCACCCTACTTAAAATGGCATGCAATTTAAAGCATGAATTGTTATCTCTGGAACTGTTTATTCAATATTTTTCAGACCATAGTTGACTGCAGGTACCTGGAAGTGCAGAAAGTGAAACTGTGGATAAGCAGGTGGTAGAGGACTACATATTCTTGCATCTAGATGTTCCTCTAGGCAAACCATTCATAATATAAATCTGATGGATTTTCCTTTTCTGTTTTTTAATAAAACAATACTCTTGGCATTTCTCACAAAACCCCTAGTGATTGCAAGTTTATTATTTGGTTTTGTGGTTTTCCCATTGTGAACATCAAGCTGCTTTTAATATTACCAAATTTACCATTTATCTTAACATATTATTTATCTCCTTGCTTCAAAAATCTTTTGAAATTAAATATTATATTAAATCTGAATACAAATAAAACCACCAAAAATTATATTTATTATGTTTTCAGCCATATCTGTACCTTTCAATAGTTTCTAGTGTTTCAAAACCAAATGTGGCCATTCTTTTAAGTCCATTAGAAATCAATGCTAAATTAGAAGCAAATGATGGGGATATTGTTTTCTCTGGATGAATTTAAAGCTGAGATGATTCAATGCCCTGCATTGTAGAAGCACTGAAAAAGGACCATGGGTAAGCCCACGTTTGCTTCTCTGAGTACTACTTGACACCCATGTAAAGAATTCTTCCAAATCATATGAAGTAAAGATGTAATCTGCCTAGTTACTGGTGTCAACAAGTATGTTTTCAAAGAAATTTCTATCAGTTGTGCCTCTCTCCTCTTGGCAAAAACCTTGAATTAGGAAACTTGTTCTAGTAGCCCAATTATAGAAAAGGCACCAGTGTACCTGTAGTATAAGGCTAGAAATTTTCTAGCCAAACATAGCAATTAGCTAGTCTTAAAAAATTAGGAAAGTCATATAGTATTTTAGGGTCTGGGCTCTATCTTTTTGTATATTTAGTTTATTGCTCAGAGGACCTTGATTGCTGTTTCTGCTAGAGGGGAGCTGGATGTTTATATATTTATAAACAAATGAAGTGGGATAGGGAATCTCTAAGGCCCATTTCTTAACTCTGAAAGTTTCTGATAATAGTTTATGGTGTTACATAAGCTAAATGAAAGTGAAGGATGTTTTCTGCAAAATCCCAGTGGTTAAAACAGATCAAAGATCAGGTGACCCAACTGAAGTGAGGGCGAGGCTTCAGGCGCTCTTCCTCCTTCTCACCATTTTCTGTAACTCAACACGTATTTCATGGAGCATGGAATCAGGGGGAAAAGTGGCTCCCAGAGACTACGTTCCCTCTGAGCTTGAATATGATGCCATTTCTGCCATCGTACTCAGTTGACACTGGGTATGTTAGTAAAAACACTATCGAGATGAATAATATAAGGTATTTGTAGTTTACATCTACACTCTTACGAACATCTCAAATACAAGTAAAAAATTATCTCGAGCAATTACTTATGTTATGCATACATATATCATATAGAGAGAGTATTTGTAATTTGGTACATGATGAGTCTTTTCTGAATCCTTTAGTTTACCTCCTCGGAGTCCAGCAATTTTTCCACAGGTTCTGCAATATGGATATTGAACCCTATAAGTTCATTCAGCTAGGATATATTTACTGAGCACCAGCCATGTGCCCAACAAGTCTTCCGATATTTTACATTTTCGACACAAAGTTTGCTCTATTTAATAAATAGTTACATACAGAAATTTCCTGCATGTACTCTTAAATTAGGTATAGGATGAATAAAATAGTAATGATTTATGACTCTGGGAAAATAAAATGGATAGCAATAATTTAAACTACAGAAGAGCATCACAGGAGGATAGATATAGATTTATATATGTCTATTGATACAGAGAAATACTATACAGTGTTCAATAATAGAAAGAAATGAATTAAGGCTACGTGTCAACATAAATCAATTGAAAATATCGTGGAGGAAGGAAAAGTCAGAGATATGCATACAGTATTATTTCATTTACATAAAGTTGAAAAGCATACAACAAAAAACAGTACATTGTTTCATGATATATTTGTAAATGTGGTAGTAGTACATAGAAAAAAAGGAACACTAGGTACTATAAAATTTTTCCTATGAAGGAGAGGGGGAAAATGGGATTGAGAAAGAAGGCTCACTCTTGGTTAACAGAGGTATTAGTAATAATATTTTATTTCTTAAGCTGCCTTGGAGTTTCTAGTGTTTCTGCTTTGTTATTGTATTTTTATAACTTACAAATGCACAGTCTTTATGTATTCAGTATTAAAGTTTAAAATACAAAAAAAGGTATCAGAGGGGAGGAGGGGGATAATGGGGATATCAAGTAACATGTGTAAAGGACACGTGAACAAAGCCGAAGGGAGTAGGTTAGAAGGTGGGAGGTGGAGATGGGTGGGGCAGAGGGATGGTCCTGGTGGTGTGCAAATGGAGACAATCGTACTTGAAAAACAATAGAAAATAAAAATAAATAAAATGCATAAAATGTTATTAAAATTGAGGGAGATTGACATGGGAAGACTGGCCAAGGTTCCTGGCATGACATTGTCCTAGGTGGGTTGGTATTTTTCAGATAAAGTCACTGAACCTTGAGTAAGTTCCCCTGACAAAGTCAGTATAAATGACATTATCCTGATTGCTCTCAATACAGACTTTAGAACAATTAGCAAGAAATTCCTCCCCGGCGAGTGACAGGGCCAAGAAAGGTGCAAAGGCTTGAGGGTCCATGTGTTTTGCAAGTTCAATTTACCATGTTGCTGTGTCAAAGGATAACAGAGAATCTCAGGGTGCTCCAAGAATGCTGTGTTTGCAAATAACTGATGGTCATACAAGTTGCACAGCAAAATATAATTATGTCAAAAAAAAAAAAAAACACCTGAACACACAACCTGGAACTAAAGTTAAGCTCCTAAGCATTGTGGACATTAAAAAAAAAAAAAAGATTCCTGTTCTTGAATGACTCTAACACCACAGTTCTTGGTGTTGAAGTGGTATGTCTTATTGAGAAACAGGAGCTCCAGAGAAGCCTGGCGGAGGTAATAGAAGCAATACTGAACCTGAAGACGGACCCCCTCCTTGTGCCTCTTGGACACACGTGTGTATCTTGTGTCCAAGTGGATAGCAGAGAACTTGGTGGAAGAGAGACATTTCAAGTTATAATGTTTGCCAAACCTATAAGTGATAATGATGAATTTGAAAAGTAAAGGACTCCTGCTATTGCAGAAGGTGCAGAGCAAAGAAATCTAGACTTTCAAAGATGTTGTTAGTATGGAAATAAACTTGAAGATGATGGGGACATTAGGGCATTCAGAGTGCAAATTTTTCCCACCTTCACTTTCGACTAAAACTTTTCTAGGATATATTGTAATAATTTTACCACCAGTTTCCTTTCAAATGCATTAAAAGATTAGCTATAACCATGCCAACACGAAGAATACCTTCAGGCTTCCGTATTTTAAAATAATTCTATATTATTCTGCTAGGTGATAGGAGTCTAAACCCCAACCTCAAGCTAAGAGCACAACGAAAACCGTTCGGAAGAGCAGCCTCTCCCGAGACTTTCCTAAACCCGTGCACGTAGCACGCTGGCGTAGTGACGTCGTTTTACGTGCAGACGTCGGCAGGCCGAGCACAGTCCCCGTATTCTCCGGGTTTCCGAAAATTTAGTAGAAATCTGTTCGCAGGGCCTTAGACGCGGTATCTTGGAGAAAACCGGCCCAAGCGAGGGATGGCGCCTCCGCGTCTCGGGACCCCTTCCTGACTCTTGTCGCGCAGGGGGATGTGGCCTCCAGCGGGTCCGGGCTGGTGGCGCGGACACGCGCTCGCGGTACGAGTTACTCGGGTTGCCCGTCTGGGGCTGCCGAGGCCTCCCCGCGCGCCAACCCCGGGGGCTGCTGGCGAGTCCTGGGGTTTGAGCAGGCTCTACAGTTCTGCAGAGCGCAAGGTGACCGACCCTTAATTTTTTATTAGCCACGTCTTAAAAATTGGAAGCCCCGTATTGAGAATTGGAAAAAATGGTCTATTCACGAATTTGGAGATTTGAAGGGCTCCCTAAGACTACCAGTGAACGCAGGTAGCGATTCTGTGAAGGAGGCGAAGCCGAGAGCACGCGCGCCGTTAGAGTTTCTGAATTCTCCACCGCTCATAAGTGTGACCTTGGACTAGTCACTCTTCTGTGTGGTTTCGTGGGTGATGTCAGTAACTAATTTCATTGTTTATGCGAGGTACTACTAGGCTGAACGGATTGCATGTATTAATACTCCTAAAATCCTACTGAGGAAGCTGCTAGTATACCCGTCATTTTCTTGAAATTTATTAGCCATGTGACCTGGGCAAGCTACTTGACCTTTATGTAACTGTTTCTAAACTTGTTAAATGATACACTAATAAAACATCGAAAGCCGTTTTTTGAGGATTGCACGATGGAAGGCATAGAATTTGTTAGTAATTCACAGAGTGCTGGATATCCACGTGTTTCCAAAACAAACCGGTGTAATTCTGACTCTTCCCTTTTGGAGAAGGTGGGGGTTCAGCGACTCAATCAGATACGATGAAGAGAGAATAATTTGGAAGAAAAGTGACGTAATTGATTGCAAGTTCTGAGTTACTTGAAAAAAATAAGACTACATAAAATTAGTTTTGACCATTTCTAAAATGTGGAATTTGAAACTATCACAATTGAAACATCTTAAATGCGGTCCAATCCTTTATAGCTTTTGAGTTGTATGGTGGGGAAAAAAGGAAACTTACAGGGCAAACAAATTAGTTTTAGTTGTAGAATTTCCTTCAGATGTAGTTGCACCGTTATTGTCTGCATTTATTAAACAAGAAACTTCAAGCTTATGAGAATGTTTTTCATTATAATTTTATGAGATTTTTTTGCTGATCATAAAATAACGATTTTATTGGAAAAATACAATGTGTAGAGTACCAACAAAACCTGACATATTTTACTTGAATACCAATTTCCTACAGTTTATAGTGAATCCCAGTAAAAGTTAAAGATGTATGCAACTAAAAATTCAGTTATATTTTAAAATATTTTTGAATTTTGTTATTAAATAAGAGCTTTTTGTTTTTGCAAATGTGATTGTTTTCCCTCTTCAGAGAAGTCGCTGAGTAAAAAAGTAATATCTAAATTAAACTTTGAAGACTCAGTTAGGAGCACAGAGTTTTGAATAGACTTAACTGGTGACTAAATTTGTGATACCGGCACAGGATTTCCATTTTTTCCCAGCTTTTCTGTAACTTTTTCTGGCTGTAGGGGCTTTGTTAGACTCTGTATTCTAAGACAGTTCAGGAGTTCTAGGTATTGTGTTCTCCTTTCAAGAAAATTCTGTTCCTCATTGACCCTTTTAGTGGTAGAAATTTTATAAAAAAACTTTTGTTTAACTGTGTAGTGACCATTGACAGTGCAACTAACATTCAGTAAGGCATATTATAATTCATTGCTTATGAGTTTAGCCATATGTGACTTTATTGTCAGAGTAATAATATAAGTGATATAGATGCTATAAATGAAGTTTTTCAAAGAAGGCTAAAACAGCAGTCTTTGAATTAGTATACTTATTTCATATTGTGTGAAATTTATAATCATAAGTATAATATTTCTGCTTTCTAGGAAAAAATTGACATGTCTAGATTCCCTGTTGAAAATATTAGAAATTTCAGTATCATTGCACATGTGGATCATGGAAAAAGTACATTAGCTGACAGGCTTCTGGAATTAACAGGTATCTTCATTTTATGTTATACACTTGATTGATGGCAGTGCATAATTACTTTTACTGTGCTTTTTAAATTTGGTTTTAATTTTATATACAGTACTGTTTCTTTTTATTTTTTCTTTTTTAGATTTAAAAAATTTTCTTTTTAGACAGAGGGGGAGGGAGGAAGAAAGAGGGGGGAAAACCCATCAATGTGTGGTTGCCTCACATGTGTCCCCTCCTGGGGAACCTGGCCCACAACCCAGACATGTGCCCTGACTGGGAATTGAACTGGAGACCCTGTGGTTTGCAGGCTGGCACTCAATCCTCTGAGACACGACAGCCAGGGCATTTCTTTTTAAAAGCCCATGTAAAAATGTGTTTCTGTTTATAGGGGCAATTGATAAAACAAAGAATAATAAGCAAGTTCTTGACAAATTACAAGTGGAACGAGAAAGAGGAATCACTGTTAAAGCACAGACAGCATCTCTCTTTTATAATCATGAAGGAAAGCAGTACCTTTTAAATCTCATTGATACACCGGTAAGTTTAATATTAATTTTGTCTCCATTGTTAGAAGACAACCTTGTACTAATAATGTAAACAGATCCTAGTTTTTGAAATGAACGTTAAACACCTGACTTTGCATTTTGTTTTCTGATTGTTCTTTGGTTAATGTAAATTATTTTACAAGCATGGGCTAAACAGAAGAAACCTATTAACGTTTTTAAAAATTATGGTTATTCTTATGGTCGTTCATGTACAGTCCCTGCCACCACTCTCCCCCACCCCACCCACACCCACCTCCCACCTTTGATGCTGTCCCCCATCTTTGGCTTTGTCCATGGGTCCTTTACACATGTTCCTTGACGACCCTTCCCTTCTTTCCCGTTATCTACTTCTCCCCTGCCCCCTGGTTACTGTCAGTTTGTTCTTTATTTTAATGTCTCTGGTTATATTTTGCTTGCTTGTTTGTTTTGTTGATTAGGTTCCACTGTAGGTGAGATCATATGGGAGGAATGTCAAACTCATTCTCACCAGGGGCCACATCAGCCTGGTAGTTGCCTTCAAAGGGCCGAATGTAATTTGAGGACAGTATTAACGGAACTGCTCCTTAACAGTTAAGTGAGAGCCAGTCCTGCCACGGGGTAGAAACAAGGTGCTGGGCCTTGGGTTCGCCACCTGTGTCATATGGTGTTTGTCTTCCACCAAGTGGAATCAGTAGATTTGCCATAGTGCTGCTCCCTCCTAAAAAAAATTAGAGCTCACACTTAGAGGTGTCAATGTTTCTTGTTTCATAGGGCCACGTGGATTTTAGTTATGAAGTATCCAGGTCTCTCTCTGCTTGCCAGGGTGTTTTGCTTGTGGTTGATGCAAATGAGGTAGGTACTTTTAATTTGACATCATGTGACATACTGTTTGGTTGTTTCAAGATGTTTTCCTTAAAATATGTTTTAGAGATAGAATTTTTTTAGTTTAAAAAATAAGATTTATTGCATTACTTAACCAAAACCATAAGTTTTGGTCCTATTAATATAAAGTTTTAGTACACTAAAAAACTTTTTGTGAAGCAGAGTAATTCGTCTTTTAAAATTTTTAAGCTGATCAGAGGAATTGTTTAATTATATGTATTTTTTTAATCCTTACCCAAGGATATGTTTATTGATTTTAGAGAGAGAGGAACGGAGAGAGAGAGAGAGAAGCATTTATTGGTTGCCTCCCATATGTACCCTGACTGGGAATTGAACCCACAACCTAGTTATGTGCCCCAACTGGGAGTTGAACCCACAGCATTTTGGTGTATGGGACGATGCTTTACCCAACTGAGCCATCCGGCTAGGGCTGTTCAATTGAATTTTTTGTTGAAGCATGTCACACGTATATCCTACCAAAAATACTCTCAATTTTTAACAGTTTTTAATCTGAGTTTTCCATATCAATTTTTAGCAAAGCTGGAAAATAACTATTTTTGAGGCCATTTTGGATAATTTTAAGGTAATAATAGGGAAGTGTTAGATTTAAAGAAACAGGCCAGTAATATTGCTGTCTTCTTTAGTGTTACAAACAATGCATAGAAACCTATTCAGGAGATAACCATATAAGAGCTATGGCGTACTATTTAAAATAAGCTTTTGATATATTCAGTTTCTCACAAATTCTTCATTCAAAATCCAGAGTTTTTTTGGTTGTTGATGTGTTAAACCTTCCCCGATTCTGTCGGGAAAGTCAGCCTCCACTTTATATACACAGAACTGGGCTTTATAAACTGCATGACATGGCTGTGCCCTGTGGGGGGCATTGATGACCTTGAGGGTCCGTGTCACCTTTGTGCCTCCAGTGCCTAACACGGTTCCCTCCAGTGAATGCTCCCTGACGTGAAAGGAATTTCACGGAGAATGGTTGGTGGGTGGAAGCGTAGCTACCGTGGTTTGCCTTACTCCTCTGCTTTTGTTGATGTGTGGAATGGTCTTGAATTATAAATTTTGTGCTAGATGGTAGAATGAGCATGTCAATATCCCATGTCTTGATTTTCCAGGGTATTCAAGCCCAAACTGTGGCCAACTTCTTTCTTGCTTTTGAAGCACAACTCTCAGTAATTCCAGTTATAAACAAGGTAATTATAGTGAGACAACAATGTTATTTATTATTGAACTTTCTAAAATTAGTGTTTGAATGTCAAGAGTGCTATTTCTTTACATGAGGGACTAATATATTTATTAAATACATTATTTCTTTGAATTGTAAGTGATGGAATTGTAACTCATACTCCTACAAGCTTGCATGTAGTTGAGAAAATAGTTACCCTAAATTACATGGAGTGATGGAGGGCTGTTCTATAGGCAAGGATGCATACAGGACAGCTAAAATATATCTGTTACACTAACCTGTGTGTGTGGGAACAGGAAAGCAGCTTGTGATCTACATGTTATACATGAAATATGGAGTCTGTCCAGAAGGCATCCAGTCATATAATATGAAAAATAAAGCAACTTATTGAAGATGCAAGATACAAGAAACAGTGTACATAGGACAGTGACACCTCAGTCCCCTTCAAAGTAGGCACCTTGGAACCTCACACAGTCCTCCCAGTCACCATCAGCTGCCCTGTTGTGTTTTCTTGAATCTCATTGATGATCTGAAATCTCTTGTTCTTCAGAGGTGATTTGAATTTTGGGAAAAGGCACAAGGTGCAGGGCACCACACCTGGGCTGCAGTGGGGCTGAGTCACCTGGGTAACTTGATGTTTCGCCAAAAAACTCTGCACAAGACATGATGCATGAGCAGGCATATTGCTGTGATGAAGCTGCCAATCACAGTTGCCCATAGCTGTGGCCTTCTGAGCCATCTGAATATTTTCTGTGGAGGATGTTCAAGCTTAACACAAAATGTGATGCAGATCCATTGCTGTACTCGCTCAGTCATTTTGAATGTGGTAGCCACACAGTTCACATGCTGTTCATTGTGTTTACCACTCCCACTGACTAGTACACTGAAGTTGTCATTGTTCGCCTGTGTGCATTCATTCCACTTTCCTTGGCTGCCAGGTTACATCGATGTTGCCCAAACCATTCTCGTTATATTAATAATGGCTGGACTTATTCTGGACAAATATCATATAACAGTTAAAGTGCAAGGCTAAGCACTGTGAAAGGGCTTAACTTTTATTTTTTAAATAATAAATAAGAAACTTAATTTAAAAATCTGTACTGCATTTAGTATATATTTTGAGATTGGAGTTAACTTTAAAAGAAGCAAGGTTGACCTGTACGTGAGACAGTTGGTACTCTGCCTCACCCTGCCTTGGAACTCTGCTCTGTTCTGAGAAGCTGACTGCCTGAATTGTTTGCATACTCTGCAGTCTGCCCTCTGTTTGTCAGGTGCCATGTATATTAAAATTTTATTCCTTATTCCTACATTATTTTAATACTTTTGAAAGAAAAATTTTAGAGGGGCTGGTTATGCTTTCAACTGCCTCCAAGTACTATGATTTAATGAGTAATACACTTTATTTTTATTAAATTAAGACAACGAATTCCTTTTTCTTTTAAAGATAGATCTGAAGAATGCTGATCCTGAAAGGGTTGAAAAACAAATTGAAAAGGTGTTTGATATTCCAAGCGATGAATGTATTAAGGTAAAATACCTTTTTTCCCAAAAAACTTCTTGAAAATCTCAAGTAATTGGCCTGAGTGAAATTCCACAGTATTCTATTTGATAACTCATCATTACATAGTGTTTTCACAATTTTACAAAATTGTTTTTATTAGTATTTCATTTGATCCTCACCAAGAATTCTTATTATGTGGTTAGGACAGATAGAAATTATTCTTGTTATACAGTTGAAAGAACGAGCTCAAAGATTTTATCATTTTTTAAGATTACAGATCTAGTGTGCTAGTGTGCCCGGACTAAAATGTAGGTCTTGTGCAACGCACTGCAATGTTATTTGCTGTATGCCATTTTGACTCTGTGGAAATACTTTCTTTGAAGAGCTGGTTCAAACTAGCTACAAGCATTTGTGTGTATTCTTGGAATTGACGAACAACTTTAAAAAAATTTAATAAAAGAGCTTGCTAGAGTAAAAATCTTAGAAAACAATAGATTTTATTTATGTCAAAGTTAATACTATTTTGAATTTGAATTGTTAAATTGACCTTTCTAGCACTGGTTTGGGTGTTAAGTAGCCACAGTCAAATTGTGCTTTGCTACATGGGTATGTAGTAAGTATGTCAATGCTTAGTGCAACATTAGAATGTTTAGTTCTCACTTTCGATCTTGTTTAAATTTTCCAAAAGCAAATTTCAGGTGATGCATTTTTTTTGTTTGCTTAACACAGTGGATGATTACATACCACTTGGTAATGACTGAAAAAGCAGTCTTTTTTTTTCTCGAATATACACACATACCTGCAGAATTCAATGTTTTTTTTAATATGAAGTCAACCTATTATAAAGCAGTTCTGAAATTTTTGGCTTCATAACTTGGATTGTTAAAGTTTAATGAACTATTCTAATTTTAATACATCTTTACAAAATTCATTCAGATATGAACTTGGTATGTGCCAGCCAGGGGCACAGCACTAAATAGGACAGACAAGATCCCATCTCAATGTGTTTATATTCTACTTGCAAGGTAGTCATTAAATAAGTAAAGAAAGTAGTAAAGATACTAATTATTGAATGAGATAGATGTTGTCAAGGAAATTCATTCAACAGCTTATATTGTTTCAAGTGGAACACCATAGTTAACAACAGAACAAAGAAATTACAGAGTAACTTAGGGAAGTCCTCTCTGGTAAACTAAGACCTGGAGAAGTTAAGACTTGTGGCAGTTGCATTGTCAGAGGAGGAAAGAGTAAGTGGAAAGGCTTGACATGTTTGGCAAGGGTTGACATATTTATGGAACAACAAGGAGGCAGTTTAGATGAGATGGCTTCATAGCAGTAGATGGGAATCAAATCATGCTGGGACTCTGGCTGCACTACAGCGTTTTAAAATCGTTCTGAGATAGTGAAAGGATTTTAAAGCAAGAGAGGAAATAAACTGATCATTCAGGTTGCCTTACAGAGAATGGATTGGAAGAGTGAGGAGAGATAACGGCAATCAGCTTGCAGTAATAGCCCAAGTATAAAATGGTGGTGGCTAAGTATGTGATTGATGGTGACGTTAGAGAAGTGGGCAAATTTGATGTATATTTTGTAGTACTTTGTAGATATAATAGACTTGCTTGTGGGTTATATGTAAGGCAGTGAAATAAGAGGACAAATCAGGGGGCTTTGGGTTTGAGCACTTAATCTAATATTCATATTAAAATGGAGAAGACCTATGGAGAAATAGATATAGAGGAAAATAAAAAGCTGTCTATTGGACATAGGTTCGAAATGTCTGTTACACATCCAAGTAGAGATAATTGTATAAATCTACAATTCAGGCACTCAGAGAGGTCTGGTCAGAGGTAGCTGTTTAGGAGTCATTAGCACGCATGTGCTGTTGAGGCCGTGGAAGTGGATGCATTTTAGAAAAGAAGCCCTAGGAGTCCAACTACATTATTGTCAATTTTTACAGTGTTGTAAGAACTTGAGAAGGATTAGAGAAAGTATGATTCAGAATAGAAGTGTGGAAGGATTGAGTTTTCAAGAAAGTGGGAATACTTCTTAGATTGTTAACAAGAGAAGAGGCAGCGGATGCAAATAGATTTGTGTATTTGAATAAGTTTTTGATGTTTTTTTAAATGAAAGAAAAAGTTTTCAAAAGAGAGAGGAAAAAGTGTGTAGAATAAAGGAAGATGGGGTGCATTACTTAACTGGGTGTGCTAATGTGAATTTACTAGGGGACGCATCCTTGGACTGCCAGGAAGTGTTAACTTCTTGGTGAGATCTGTGGTCATGAATTCACAGAAACTAGCCAGACCAGTTACTTGATTTTTCTCCAGTTGTGTTAAGCCATTCTTGCTATAAGCATAGAACAGGCATGTAGTTGGACACAGTCACGGTTGAGGGTTTACTGTCTGCTTATCATAGAGAATAGAAAGTGGTTGGACAGTGATTATAAATATTGGACTTTGGACTCTCAGCTGGAAAAGAGGGAGTGGACGACTAACGGGTAATTTTAAAAAGCCATCCATTCGGATTAGAGGTTGTGATCTTAAAGGATTGTTCAAACAAGGTACTAGAAACTAGAGCAGTGGTTTTCATTAGGGATTAGTTTTGCGCGCCAGCAAACCTGTGGCAATGTCTGGAGACATTTTTTTGTTGTCATAGTGAGGGGTGGGTGTGACTGGCAGTCTGTGGATAGGTGAGATTCTACAGATGCTGTTAAATGTCCTACACAGAATATGCCCCCAAACAGAATTATTCAACCCAAAATGCCTTTGCTTCTGAGTTGGAAAACTGATCAAGAGGGAGTTTGAAAGGTGAGAGGTGGGGTTCTGGGATTGGGTTTTGAAATCAAAGTTTCAGAGACAGTGCAGTCACTGGTGATGGCAAAGGTCAGCATGCACATGTGTTTGGAGTCTTGACTTTTTCAGTGTAAGAACACCAGTGATAATAGGGTTTCTGTATCACCTGTATGCCATCCACACATGCTGTTTATTCTGTTCACACAGCCACCTTGAGATCTAGGCAAAATTTGAATACTCTATCAGATGGAGAACTTGAAGCTCCAAGAAACACATATGGGTCAAAATCCTACATTCCATGCAGAGTCATGATTACTGCCTTGGGTTTCTGAGCTCTTAGTCCACTGCTCTTACAGCTCCGTGATCAGAACGCTCTTGTTACTTCACACAAGAACCGTGGAGTCCCCTAGCTGTACTGGGGCAACGTTTGTCAATATGCTGTGTGCTTATTACCTTTACGATGTTCTTTAAACAAATTGGTAACTGTTAGAATTCTTTATTTATTCGTCTCACAAAGCTCCATTACCAGGATAGAAGAAAGGCAGAATTTTAAGTTTAAATGTTTGTCTTTTTACATATATATTTTTAGATTTCTGCTAAAATTGGAACAAATGTTGAAAGCGTTCTTCAGGCGGTCATTGAAAGAATACCCCCGTAAGTTTTGTGCTGTTTTTCTACTGTTTATCTTTAAGAGTACAAAGACCCTCAATATGACCTATTGTTTAGTTTAGTAAATATGGAAAATATTCTCATGATCAAAGAAAATACATTTTTTAAATTTATAGTACTATAGAAAGCAAATACAATACAGAAAAATAAAAGAAAAATGATAGGAAATTTGTAACAATGCAGGAGGAGACTTGAATACAGTGACAGTTATTTGCTTTAATGCTGAACAAATATATTTTATCAGTTTTATAAGTGACTTTAATACAGTCGTTTACTTAAAGCTAGAGATTGAATTAAAACGTATGAAAATAGACATTATACCTTATCTTATGGAAAGATCTTTTTATTTTAGCTGTCAGTTTTTAACCTTTCTGAAGGACTAGAATAAATTAAGCATAGTATTTGAGTTAAAATAGGCATTTTATTATTAAGGTTATAATTTAATGTGTGTGTATTTACTTGTTTTTGATAGTCCTAACGCATGTCGCAAAGATCCCCTGAGAGCCCTGGTATTCGACTCCACCTTTGACCAGTACAGGGGTGTGGTAGCCAGTGTAGCCTTATTTGATGGAGTGGTTTCCAAAGGAGATAAAATTGTATCTGCACATACTCAAAAGGCATATGAAGTTAATGAAGTAGGAGTTCTGAATCCTAATGAGCAGCCAACTCATAAACTGTAAGTATTCTACAGGAGTGATGAAGATACACTTGTATGTTCCTGTCCTTTCTCAGCTTGGTATACTTAGAATGATCCTAATACGGAGACTCAGAAGTAAAAAAACAAAAACTTGATTTTTTAATGCAACTCCCTAGTGAATAATCTTTTGAAAGGAGTGTAATGTGTGAAGGATAGTAGATATTTGATACATTTTTATGCCTTTTGTCTAGTCATAACTAGTTTTGTGATCCAGTGCGGATAGGATTCTATATTGATGTATTTGATGAGACAGGGAAAAATAGTTCCCTTGTCCATATCCATATTCATATTGAGTATTATTTTGACATTTAATTTTTTATAATTAGATTTTTTACTACAATATACAAGTAGTAAAGAAAATGTCATAATTCCTTCCATTGGTGTGGAGTTCATGGGAGAACTTTGGTTAACTAGAATTTCTTCATGCGGGGTTAGCAAGGTAGTATGCACTGGAAAAACTGAATTCGGAGCTCAGTTCTAAATATTTGAATGCCACTCCACCAGTACCCTGGATACTGGTGAGGTAAACTACCCTGGATGCATAGTTGGAGCTTTCTGTGGTCATTGTCTTTTTATGTGTAAGAATTAAGATACTGAACAAAGTAACCATATGGGTCACGCTTGACAGTTTAATGTGTATGTCTTAACCTAGCACATTTTGCTCATTACACCTTTTATTTGAGAGTTGTAAAGTAGTTTTACCTTAATTATACTCAAACATTTCTAAAGTCTGTCCATATTCTGCCATATATAACATACTGACCATTACTTTAGTGTTTTATTATGTGGGAACTTTGCTTAAAAAATAAAAACTGAGCTAAAACTCTGGAATCTTATGGTTTGCTCTTTTTCTACAAAAGGAACATCAAATAGGTGTCCAATTTGTTGAGAATTCATTTCTGCTTGTTTTTTAAAAGAATATTTGTAACACAATTTATAAATAGAGCTTTACACTACAAAAAGTGTTTTATGTTTCTACATTTACTACTCTCACTGTATTTACATTGTATTTACTTGATATTTAACATGCAAAGGCGGGCAGAGTCCTGAAGAAGGCCTTAGGCTTATTGTCGGTGATGGATTTTAAGGCACAGTATGTGCTTTTGCTGGTTATCCTTAGAGTTGAGAATTGATAAGCAGAACTTAGTTTGAGTTTCATGAAGTTTTTATTTGGAAGGTGATCATTTCCAGGAAAGATAGAGCTTATTGTGAGTCTGCACCTGAAACATTAAAGCAGTAAATATTTCCATATAATAATTTTATTTAGTTATGCAGGACAGGTGGGCTATCTGATTGCTGGGATGAAAGATGTCACTGAAGCACAAATAGGAGATACATTATATTTACATAAACAACCAGTGGAGCCCTTGCCTGGGTTTAAATCAGCGAAACCAATGGTATTTGCAGGTGAGGAGCTCATGTATTCAAAGGATGAGGGTCAATTTTTTTCGTCATTTGAAATAAAAATTACCAGAAATACTCATCTTAAATAACAGTTAATTTCAGGATGCTCTCTTTGTGTGTGTGTGTGTGTGTGTGTGTGTGTGTGTACTATTTACATATTAGCTAATTTCATATGTAGAGTAAAACTTAATATGGGGAATAACTTCCTAGTTTCTTTTAGGAAATGAGCTCTCTGGTACATGGGAAAGCATAGTACTATGGATTTCCTACTTATTTCCTTAGAGAGTAGGTTGGTATATTTAAAATACTTCTCTGATTTATTACTGCATACCCTCCCCTGAGCTGGACTTTCTTTGCTCCTGTACTAGTGTAGACATAGCAGAGAATAGTGTCACCTCACATATGTGTGACTTCACAAGCTTTTACTACTGTGTGGAATTACAGACATTTGGGAAAGGAAGACCCGATTGAAGGGCATCAAGTTACTCGGTGCTGGGCGTCCATTCAGACTTTGTTTTTCTCCCCTAGTGTCTCTCATTTGGAATTGTGAGCTTTGTCTATCCCCACAGTTAGGCAAAGTCAGCATTTGGATTTTGAGGGTTTGGGAGGTGAGGGCTTGAGGTATCAGATGAAAGAGAATCCGATGAATCAGTTCTCCGTAGTTTTTGTCAGTGAGTTTAAAAAGGCAAAATTTATCTTTGATTTTTATAGATAATATAGAGAATTAAGAATTAAGTGTACTTCCCATTTTTACTCCTTTTGTTAACTGTCAGTGGAGTCACATTTTTTGGTTGCGGAATGGTCCCATTTTCTTTCTTGAAATAAACACAATGTATTTTCCTAGCTCTAATTCCCATGGGTTTTTTTAGTTTTCTTTATATTTTTGCAAAACCATAAAAAGACCACTTGCAGTATGAATCCAGTTGTAAATTCATTAAGGCTATGAGACTTGCAAGATACTTTAAAGTCATTGTAAATTAATATTCATAGTTTTTGACAACCTAGTATTTTAATGAATGAAATATAAAAAAAACTTTTCACATGAGAAAATTAGAAATTATTATATCCTTAGGAATGTACCCTGTGGATCAGTCTGAATATAATAACCTGAAGAGCGCTATAGAAAAATTGACTCTGAACGATTCCAGTGTGACAGTCCATCGGGATAGCAGCCTGGCTCTGGGTGCCGGCTGGAGGTAAGATTCAGTTACGTTGTACAGCTCTTTGTTTATTGAAGAGGGGTTTAAATGGTGTATTACTCCTGAACATTTCTGAAGATAAATTTCCTATTGTTGTAAAATGAAATAAAATAAGTATCTTCCTATTTCACACTGTGGATTCATATTCTCTAGGCAAGTTTTATAGCAATTTTAAATAGAATCCAATGCAACATTGGAATCTTAATGAAATTATGCTAAGCATTTAATTATGATATGAATTGCTTGAATGACTTTTGATTCCACCCCTTCCCCACAGAGTAATGATACAGAGCCCATGGGTAAACATTTTGGAATTTGGCTTTTTCTCCCTAGATTGGGATTTCTTGGACTTTTGCATATGGAAGTTTTCAACCAGCGACTAGAGCAGGAATATAATGCCTCGGTCATTTTGACAACCCCTACTGTTCCATATAAAGCTGTTCTTTCATCAGCCAAATTGATAAAGGTACTGTTGTGAGTCAGCATACAGGGAAGAACCAAATGTGTGCCTGTGTGTGCAGAATGCCAGAGCCACTTGCTACATACATCATTAGCTGACTGCCTATTAAAACTACACATGTCCTGATGCATAGCAATAAAAATCGAATTACCTTATGATTAGTGATGGAGAAACTGTGAAAAATAATTTACACAGCATTTTACTTGATAAAATATCCATTTTATAAATACTAGTCCGTTACTGAATTAATAATAAAAATACTGTTCTAAATCCAGTGCAAAAATAATGGTTATACATTTCGGTCATAAGTAATTTATCTTATTAAAAGAATGAAGCATTCATTCCTCCTTGGCTGCAGGAAACCTTAGATTTTAACTTATGATAGGGACAACACTGTATTACAGCTCAGTAGCAATACATTTATTTTAAAGAAATAATAACTTTGGCCTCTGTAAGTATTCCAACAAATTAACTTAGGAAATTGATTATAAGGCCTTGTAAAGGAGAGATTAAAATATGGTATTAACATCGTATTTTTCTATATGATACATGAAATATGTTTAGTGAACATGTATCACCAGAATATATTGCTTATTAAACAATACAGTTGGAGGGTTTTTAAATCTAAAGCATGTCAAGATAATCTTACTTTTAGGGATTCTGTTTTTATTCTAACAGCTTCAATAACAAAATAAATTTTAACATATACTTTAAACAAGGTAATTATTTATTAAGACTTCTTTTTAACTGTTGGTGATATTTCTTATTCTTAGGAATACAGAGAAAAGGAAGTTACAATCATCAATCCTGCACAGTTCCCTGATAAATCAAAAGTATCAGAATATTTGGAGCCGGTTGTTTTGGGCACCATTATAACACCAGATGAGTATACTGGAAAAATAATGATGCTTTGCCAGGTAAATGTAATGTAAGTTTATGTAAGAGTTAAATTTTCATCTTCTCAAGCAGTTTTGAAAGATTTCTTAAATTTGTAACAAATTTTCTTAAAGGTCTGTATCTTCATACGTATATACATATATGGAAATATCTATCTATATATAAATATAGATACACATACTCTAAAATTATTTTGATTTCATATAAGAAAAAATAGAGCCAGAGTTTTGATCACCTTTGTAAATTCACTGAATATTTTACCCCAAAGGAAAGAAATTTTATACTTATTTATCCTGAGTAGATAAAATTGCAATTTCTTTTAAACTTTTTCAGTATGTGATATAGAATATAGTTTGAAATATAATAGTAATACTTGATATACCCTTAATTAAAAGGTGTTTTCCATTTTGCTTTAGTTCTCACCATATTGTAATACATCATTTATTCCAAATACTAGATATAATGATAGTCCTCAGAAATACCTATTTGAAATACTCTGACATATATTAGGAAGAACTCTTAAATGATGACTAATGGACTTGGGTTTTAATTCTGTTATCATAAACCAGATTATAACTTTATTTAGTCACTTAATTTTGCTGAACCTGTTTGTTTATTTGTAAAACATGAAACTAAGAACTTTTACTTTATCTATATTTACATTTGACTCATTATTAAATGAAATACTTCATAATTTAAAACAATAAAATTGTTAAATATGAAGGATTAAAACATTGGTGTATACTGTAACTGAAATACAAAAATCATTCTCCCTGTGATAGAAATATTGCTTGCAAGTTTTTACTATACAATTAAGGAAATATTTCCTTATTTTGTCCACTCTTTATTAACATTTGTAAGATAATACTTAAGTTGGTAATTGGCATCTGACTATATTAATTTGAAGTCATTATTTGAATAGGTAATTATTAAACACATTTTATTCTGCCACTTTTAGGCTCGAAGAGCAGTTCAGAAAAATATGATGTTTATTGATCAAAATAGAGTTATGCTTAAATATCTCTTACCTTTGAATGAAATTGTGGTGGATTTTTATGATTCTTTGAAGTCTCTGTCTTCTGGATATGCTAGGTAAATATTTAATGAGCAGTTCAGATACTTGAACAGTTTTTTTTTTGAAATATTGACCAGCAAGAGTATCTGTTCTCTTCTTTGTATTTTGTGTAGTACTTAATATGTTATATTAATGATGTTCATTAAAGAGAGATAGAATTTTTAGCAACATTTTAGGCAGTAATCTGGTTTTAGAGAGTATTACTGTCACCTTTCAACTTTCATGGTTTAGAAATAAAACATATTTGTAGCTCTGGGTACCAGCCTCTTTTAAAATTATGACAGTAAGAATACATATGTTCTTATTTCTAATTGGAAAGACATGTATGCATAATTGTAATTTTATTAGACTTTGTTTTATAAGTTAAACCTGTATTTTGATTAGTGTTGTAAGCTTTAACGATTTTATTAATGGATGACACTAAAAACTTGTATTCACTAGGTTAGGCTCTGTCCTAAACACTGCTATGCACGGGGTCCTGTCTAAGTGCTTTACATGCATTAACTTAGTTCATCCTCAGAAAGTCCTGTAAAGGGTCAGGCTGAGGAACCATATCTGAAATCCCTAAGTCTCATTCATTAATGGCTGTTGGTCAATGCCATAGCATTTATTTAACTGAAAATAGAAACTAGACAGAACCCAGCTTTATGAATTTGAGAATGACCTATTAGTATATAATAATATTTATAGCCAGCCAGCTATGGGGAAAGAACATTAGGAAGAAAGTGACATTTGCCTTCAGTTATCCATTTTCCTAGACTGGCTTTCCAATATCTTTCCTTCCCCTTTAGAGCCTGTTCCCCTGCCTTTGCCCCTTGTCTCATAAATGTAAAGATGGTGAGGTTTATTTCTTAATTCAGTCATTTAGATCCATTCATCTGAAATGTATACGTAACATTTTCAAGGAAAGTTAAATCTTCTGGGGGAGGATGGCAGTGTACAAAAAAAGAAAGTATTTTGAAAAGAAAAAAATGTATAATGTTTTGGGAAGTATAATGTTTATCTATTTGTTGGACATTTTTCCTTGTTAGTTTTGATTATGAAGATGCAGGCTACCAAACTGCAGAACTTGTGAAAATGGATATTCTGCTGAATGGAAATATTGTAGAGGAGCTAATAACTATTGTACACAAGTAAGTGAATAGAAACTAATCATGAATTGTGAAAGTAACCACTTTTGACAATTCAGTTATTTTTATTCAGTTATTAGTTGCTCTATTTTGCCAGCTATATTTTGAAAACTTAAAGGTAATTAAATTTTACTAGCACTAGTTTTTTCTTCCATTTTTTATCCATGATTCTTTTTAAAAATTATTAAAACATAAAAGAAGAATACTTATGATAGTTGAAACAATTAGTGGCACAGGAAGAAATATTTCCCTTACCAGGTATGATGAAATAAAAGAAAAAAATTTTTAACTTAATGATCAGTTTAGAATTGAGAATAAAAAGTTTTTTATCTTCATAATAATTTGTAATAATGAAAAGTGAAATATACCCTAGATGTTCAAGAAATAACAGATAGTAGAGTGGTTAAAATAACTTATGGGGCACTCATATAATTTGTTTTAAGCCATTAAAACTATATTGTGGATTATTATTTAGTGACATAAAAGTGTTTATTAAATAAAATGGCACAATAAACTAGTCTAAACTGTACAAAAAAGCATCTGTATGTAGAAAAATAACTAGAATGATATGTTTAACATGACCATTCTAAAATGTTTATCAGTGGTTTTGTATGGGTGAGGGAAAGGCATCAAGAATGCTGTGTATTCTCTTATGTATATTTTTCCCTGTTTTTTTGTACTAGATCATGTTATTTTTGCAGCCAGAAAAGTTCTTTATTCAGCAAGTGATGTTTATGATAAATGAGATCTGTTTGAACATCCTTAAGGAACCACCTTTCCATTGATTATGCATATGGACTAGAAAGTTACTTAACATTCTTATTTAGTATCAGTAAATACTTGAATTTTCTCCAATTCAGAGACAAAGCCCATACTGTTGGCAAAACCATATGTGAACGTCTGAAGGATTCTCTTCCTAGGCAGCTGTTTGAGATAGCAATTCAAGCTGCTATTGGAAGTAAAGTCATTGCAAGAGAAACGTGAGTTGAAATTTCTTCTTTTTCTGGTTGATCTTAGAAGTGATATACCTAAAAAATGAAATACTGAAAAATTTAACATTGGCTAAAGCCAGTGATTTTTCATTCAGTGTGCCATCTGGTGTGAATGAATCAAAATTATACCTATTTTTCTGGTCAGATCAGCAAAAAATGTATTTTTGGGTGTGCTGCAGAATTTTAGTAATTAATGTATGTGTTCCATGAGATGAAAAAGATTGAAAATTGCTAGTGTAAGCTTTATTAATACTTGTAGAAACATTAATCCGTGTCTTAATTACACAAATTTACGTGATGACTGTTACTTTTAATTATGTATTTTTTGGACTATAGGATGCACTCCTCCTCTCCCCCACCCCAGTATCAATTTGGGAGGAATAATGGTTGTTAATGCTGCTGTTGAGTTCTGTTTACGTTTACATTGTGAAATACTGTGTTATTTATGTTATTAAATATTTTACCACGTTTTTTCCTTCGAATTCTTTTTTCCTATTTTCCTTTAAAACCCAGGTGTGTTTTATGGCCTGAAAAACACGGCTTTATATAACACTTTTGTGTAACATTACTTACATTTATTAATAGAATGTATATGAGTTTGAGAAATTGCTTTATTTCTACTCATTTTATTGAATGACTGTTGAATTTCCTAGGTAAATTTCTGTAAAGTTTTTATGGTTTTATCCCTTCAAGTAAATGATAAGCTAATAGGAACCGAAACTGAAAAGGTTTTGGAGACATTCTTCCAAGAGACAAAAACTAAAATATGATTTTTACTTGAAACATTCCTCAGTGCTAGTCAGGTTGTAAATCAGAAAGGTAAGAGAGAAATGCTAATTTCGTGTTAAGCTTTTGCACATGTGACACAGGAGAAGTGGGGGGCAGGGGAACGTGTGTCAGAAGCTGCCTCTCACGTGGTGCACAGGATGTGCAGCTCAGGGCACTGGGGGAGCTGCTCTGCTGGTCACGGAAAGTGCAGGAGGTGTCCTGGAGCAGTTCCTCTTTTTTCCTGGATGGTCTATCATTTTTATATAATCTTGGTATAAATTTTATGCCAACATTTGCAATGAATTTAATTTTCTAACACCATTTTGCCGGAGAGGCAGTGGTTTTATGTTCCCGAGCACCCGGACATGAGGCCGAGGGAAGCTGATAAACTGGGAGCCTCCTGGAAAGTGCAATTTAGAATAGTCGGCGAACATGAAGTGTGCTGGGGTAGACAGTAAAGAAAAAGTAGATTTTTGTCTCTTTTGGAATACATAAAAATGGAGCTATTTTCAAATTTCTAATCCTCCAAAATTCTCAGAAACATTATAGGAGTAAAACTAGATTAGTTTATAAGTACTTGGATGGACATATGAAAATTTACTCTAAAGTGGGTTTATGAAACTAATATATTTTATATCCCTTATCACTCTTGCCCCATGTTCAGTGGAGTTTTGGAAGTAGAAGTGGTTATACTTTCAGGTGGAGCCAGCATTGACCCGATACAGTTCTTGTAATCGAGGTCATACCGTGCTCGAATTTGGCCTCAGCTCTACCCACAAGCTTGACCTTTTTTATTCTTAGTAAAATCTATGTTGTTACTCATGCTGAATCTTTTCCTATTTTATTCCAAATACATAAAATATAAGAGTATTCGAGCTACCTAATGATTTGCTTATGGCAGTTTTACATAGGTCTGACACTATCATTTAAATCTTTAACAAAGGTGAGACTTTGAAAATAAAATTTGAAACAGTATAATGAAGTTGTGCACTGATAACACATTTTTCTCTTTTACAGTGTGAAAGCCTATAGGAAAAATGTTTTGGCAAAATGTGTACGTATTTACCTGATAAATAATAAATCTATTTTATGAGTTTAGAATTAAAGATGTATAAATATATTGGTTTTCGTTGTTCATTTTTATAATATTCTTTATTTCATCTCCAAGTTTTCTTTTTAAATCAGTAAATTTCAGCTTGACTATAATAGCATATTCATTTTGATAATGATCTTAAATATTTTTCATCTTATTCTAAAAATGTTCTTATATGGAATACTAAGCACAGGGTCTGGCAGAAGTAAGGCCTGCTTGGATGTGGTTGGTAGGGTAACAATACGGGTGTAATAATTTATAGTTTTAATATGAACATTTCACATAAAATGTCATCATGTGCGTTTGAGTGTGATATCATTATGCTACAGAATTACATGCTTATGATTTTGTGATTTTGTAATAAAAAGGCGTTATTTGTGCCAGACCTTGTAGTTTATAACAGTTATGAATAGGTAGCACATTTGTTGATCTAATTTATAAGGAAAGATTTTGAAGACAATGGCTAAACAAAGAACATGGGATTGGAACTCACCTCTCTTGTGTTGGTTTGCCAAATTTGTTGTCTCATCTGTTTAAAAAATGTCCCTAGCTCAGTTTTTATGAGAATCAAATGATGCTATTTCTAAATCCTTTGCGTAGGGAATGACACAATTACACCTGTACAAGTTTATGTATGAGACTACAGCTGTGTAATCCACAGTTTGGAGTCTTGAGTCAGTAAGGAGGTTGACAGTTCTTCCTTGACATGCATAATGTAGTACTGTGTTTCCTTGTCGATCTTCGTCTCCATCCAAAACTAAAGCCTTTATTATTCTTGAAGGCAGTAAAAATAGCATCTGCCAGGAAGAGGGACAGAGAGGTATATTTGCAGATGTCTTCCTCATGATTCATGGGTAGCAATTGTAACATGGTTATAATGATGTCATTATGTAATTGTAAGATTTTTCTATGGATTGATTTGCACTTCCAATTTTTAAAATATTTTTCAGTATGGTGGTGATATTACCCGAAAAATGAAGCTTTTGAAGAGACAAGCAGAAGGGAAGAAAAAACTGAGGAAAGTTGGCAATGTTGAAGTTCCAAAAGATGCTTTTATAAAAGTTCTGAAGGCACACTCTGATAAATAGTGGGTGTGAAAATAAAAGGATTTTTTATGAATTAAAAATTACTTATCTTTTAGTTTTTCTTATAAGTCTATGTTGACACGGAATGAACATTATAAAATGTGCTTGTTACTTTCAGCATTTTCAGATTTAAATAACCTATTGGCTTTTCTTTGAAAGGCAGTAGTGAGTGGGTAAGAGTTTGTACTCTGAAGCCCTATTGCTGGGCTTCAGATTTCTGTTCCACCACTTATTAGCAGGGTAAATTATCTCTCAGGCTGTTTATCCCTTAGTAAAGTCAGATTTTCCTATTGACTTACCTCCATAGGTTGTTGAATGAGATAATATGGGTAAAATACTCAGATGAGTGCATGACATATAGTAAATGCTCAGTGAACCTTAAATATTTTGTATGCATGCATTGCTTTCAATTTGGACACATGCTCTTTAACCTCTATGAAAGGTAGTAATAATGATACAAAAAGTATTTTTCAATTTTTTAGCATAAGCTTAAGTTCTCTTCCTTGGCCATGCTCTCAGATGATTTTCATGATTTAAGGTTGTATGCCTTCTAAGTGCATTCCCCAGAGGACTTTATGTTTCTAAGAAACTTGCAAACATTAAAACTATAAACTAGGATGTGAATGTTAGAGTGGCCCCCGTTTATGGTGATAGCAACTGTGTTGAGCTCTGAGCGCCCTCCCTCCCTTAAACTACGCCACGGTCAAGGTGCGGGTGCCGTCACAGACCCACTTCGTGGGGAAGAAACTGGGACTTTGTACTGTCCGACACCAGTTTCTCACGGAGCTGGGGTTCAAACTGGCTTCCTTCTCCAAACTCCGGTTCCTAGCTACCCTATTTTACTGCCTCTTGCGAAAACGCCTCCAATGGTTTCTCAGTCTTTCCTTCACAGCAGCTTAGCTCCTAACTTGGGGAGTGAGAGTGGCCAGAAAGCCATTTACTGAGGAGCTGGAGTAAGGAGTACAGGGACCGAAACTGCTCTCCTCCCATCAGGGGCCGTGAAGCAGGAAGACTGTGTCTCAGCGAACACATTTAAAGCACAGTAGTAACTGGTGAGCCATGCACCCAAACCGGTGTCTTCAGCTTTTTCACTGTTGTTGCTTAACCTTCTAAGATAGTTAGGGTAGTTTTCAGTAACCAGTACTTTATTGCCAAGTGTGACTTGAGGATGATTCTGACTGACTAGTCATTTAAAAACCATTTATAACACTTAAGGCTGTTACACCTTCATTATCTGGAATTAAACTGGTATATATTGTTTTACCCTAATAGTTTTACTTATTTTTATTTAACTTTTAATTTATTTGCTATTTAAGTATTTTAAGGAACTTAACTATAAATACATTTCAGTCACAAATGCAGTTAATTAAGGAGGTACATAAGTAATGCTGCTTCCTACTAAATAGGCTTTATAACATGCAAAACATTCAGAGAAAAGGGGAGTGTTGTTTTTACTCTCAAGGAGCAAGACTAAGGAATTTTAGGCAGAATCATTGTCTAAATTTAAATCTCCTGTTTGCATGATGGCAACAATTAAAGTTATTAAATGCAGGCTCAACAGCCACTACTAATTGTCAGAATACCTCAGATGCATATATTCAGTTTCATGTCTGGAAATAAAGTTTAGATATATTTGTTTATTATAAGCTTTATTGGAATTAAAGATAGAAAACAATATCCTTTATTTTTAATGATTCAAGTTCTTATGACAAAGTGAAATAGTTTACAATAATTACTTTTATATATACTTCATTATATTATCCTTTTAGAGATGTATGTAAGGAATAAAGGTAATCATTTATGAAGTTTAACAATAATCAGAAAATTTTCTTCAAAAGAATTTCTTTAAGTGTGTTGCTAGGTATAAAGCTCATAGTGGCCAAAATACTTATATTAAAAGCAAGAACCCAAGTCATTAAATAAAAACAAGAGCACAGGTGTAAAAACAGGCGCACAAAAACCATGCCCTCATTCATACTTGTCAGGTCACATACGTATTTTTAGGCACTGTCATCTCCTCAAACTGTACCTACAACACGTAGCAGGACTTTTGATGTCCAGATACTACTGCCGGAAAATGACTTAAGGCAACCACGTGCAGAAAGCTTGTGTGATGCACAGGAAAATACAGAGCGTTTCAAAAGTACTGGTAAAGGTTTGCAATGACAGTGTATCTTCATGTGATTAAAAGAACTAATCTAACAATACCACTGGAGAAGTATGAATGTAACAGGCTCTTCACCTTTAAAAAGACTTTTGAGATTTTTAAACAGGTAGACATTTCATTTCTTTGCTGTTTACAGTGAGTATGTGGTGTCTGTACCTTAAGATTAACAGCTGATTAATTATGAGAGCCAGCTACTCCTAAATCATACTATAAAATGGACACATTCTAAATATGGAATGTTTAATATATATATATTGGGCTTCAAAAATGAGTCTTCAAAAATTCCCCATGTTTTATCATATTGCATAGCTGCAAATCCATCTATTATAAAAGTGTTCTGTTCATTCAAGTGGAATTTGGCTCCAGTTGCTTTCAGTCTCCTCCTTTCATACTGTGCAGTGGATCCACAAGTTTATTGTGCACATGCATTAGACCTTGAAGAGAAAAGCACAGTTCTGTTGTATTGGAGATTTTGAACTGTATCTCATATACTTTAGAAAACAAAAGATGTGTAAGAATGTAGGTTCCCACATGATGCAAAATTGTTTTTTTAATGTAAATAGAAATATTTCAGAATGTTTAGTTTTAAATACCTAGTAAATACCAATTTTCAATTATTTATGAATCTGTAGTTCCAGAGTGTGTACAGGTCCTTTGGGAATAAGTAGGAGTAGGAGCAGTTCTTGTCTTCAGGGCTTTGGTAAGACAAAATAACACAGTTTAACATGGACTCGGTTAATACACTTTAATTACATGTGTAAGGGTTGAGTTGGATCCCCAGTCACTTCCTCTACCAGACAGACTCCAATGAAACACTTAGAACTCTCCTTCCACTAGGATGGGCTTGCAGCACATTTAGTCTCATCGAACACATCCACGGAGACACTTGGGCCACACCAAATGCTCCTTGAAATTTGGCCCTATCAAAAATGTCCATGCTTAGAAAACATCCCTGGGTTTAAGTAGCCCAAAGGTTTACACTTTTGGTTTACAGAACTGATACATAAAAAATACTCTGAAGGACCGTTTTTTGGCATGGTCCAAGTGTCTTCATGGATGTCTCAGAACCAAAAATTAAGGGCCTTTTGGTGTACAGCAAACGTCTCCATGGACTTCTTGGGCAGGATCAAATGCCCACTAACATTGGGATAGCTTTAGTTCTCCAAAAGTCATTGCACCCATCCATCTGGCAAGTGCTTTCCCACTGTTTGGGCCTGTATATACAATAGAGATTGATTACAAACCACATGGAGGGAGGTCTACTAAACAAAACAGAAGAGAACCTACACTAACTGCTGATTTCCATGTAGATTTGAATTTCTTATAACTGGTATGCTTTAAATTGTTCTTATTAAAGCTTCTGGGGAAATATCTTCCAGTTACTAATGTCTTAATACATATATACTGTATTTCTTTGAAGGAAACAAAAAGACTGTCCCAATTAATGAACTAAAGATTTTCTATTTTGAGAGTCAAAGAAATGAGTTAAATGTGTCAGAATGTCCAGAACAGAGGCTGGGGAAATGGACTCAAGTAATTTTCTCAGGAAATGGGATGACTGGATTGGGAAGACAGCACACTTAGTTAATAAGTGTTGTATTAGAAGTAGTCCTTGTCAGGAAAGCTGTAGAAGTACCCTAAAATCTAAACTGTGAGGAGCACCTATGAGAAATAAGCAAAGACAGGAACATGCAAAGAACACTTAAGTGTTCATGTAGTAGGAGAAAAACCAGAAGCTAAGAGTCTTAAAAGGAGAGAAAAGAAAACTCATTAGATCTGAAAGTGAGAGTGCTAATCGCTCAACAGCCTACTCCACTGTCTTAACTAATCAGCACCTTAAATTCAACAAGGTCCAGACCCATCTGTTCCCTTCCAAACCTATCTTTGAAAATCCTGTTACCCTTCAATGAGTCAGTCAGCCAACTACAATCCACTGTTTATTTTCTCTCTTCTCTTTTATAATTCAGCAGCGAGACCCGCTGGGCACTACAGATGTAACCCCCACCCCTCCCCACCACCGCAGGCACCTAGTCCTACTAAAACAGACACTGGGTTGCACCATTTCCCTGATTAAAATTCTCCAATTGTTCTGGTTACTTAGGAAATCATTTAGGTTTAAAAAATAATCTCATGTCCTCTCACTTACCCACCTTTAGGCTGAACTGCACCCCAGGTTTGCTGCTGTTACCCCAGGAAAGCTAAGCTTGGCTCCAGTGCAGGATCTTTACAGTTGCTGTTTGACTCAGCATGGGATGCTCTTCTCCCTAAGCAAAGCACAACTCTCTCCTCTTTATATATTAGGTCTTAGCCCACACGTCACCTGAAAATATTAGTGCCACTTTATGCTCTTAAAAGCAACTTTCATTCTTAGATAATATTTTCTACCACATTCCAACTAGAAACGAAGGTCCAGGGCCTTATATTCACTGCTCTAAGTCCAGGGTTTATAAAGGTCACTGCACACAGTAGCTCAATGAACATTTATTTTAAAAAATCTGTGAAGATTTAGTGAGATGGTAGTATCTGGTAGCTTTTTTAAATTTAAAATCAATCTAAAACATACAGTGCTAAAAAGACAGCAGTAGAAACAGACAGGAGATAGAGATTCTGTAGTTCATGGTCCTAGAGGCAGGACAGGAAAGGTCAAGGGCACTGCTGACAGAATGGCTAGACCTTAAGGAAAGGATGGCTAAGCATCAAGGTAAATGTACAGTCTTGGACGCAGAGCTTTGGAGGGGCACATGTTAAGCCTTCCATGAAGCTGGAAGGAACGAAGAAGGGTCAAAAGGTTAAAGTGAGTAATGGGAAAAGTTTAAAAACTGCAAAACCTGGAGCAACAACTAACCCAGGAAATAAAAGGATTTTGTACAAATTCTAAACTAAGCATAAAAGGCATTTCATTGGTTCAGCCTCTGCCTCAGATACATGGCAGCCATTTACCTATCTGGACTTATTTATAAAATGACCAATCTCAGCTCAAAAATTCAAAACATGTTTGGTTTATACATGTCTTAAATAGCATAGTATCTAATACTTGAATGTTTCCATAGTGACAGTTCCTATAATGTAATACAACTCTGACCCCAAATGCTTACTAGTGCTTTGAAGACAAAAAGCCTGTGATAAGAATCCATGAATATGTAGACAAACCTATGACTGTTTCATTCATTAGACTGTTTTATGCAAAGGTATCCCTGAGGCTGGATTTAAAATCACTGACTTCTCAGTATGTAAAACTTTTTCTCAGGGTTGATAAAACCTCCTTCCCATATCCTTTTGGTGCTATAAAGGCTGCTACAGTTAATTTTATACCCTTATAGGGATGAAATCAGCTCTTGGATGTTCAAAGGTAAGAGTTCTGAGGGAAGCCAGAACAGAACGAATCCACAAGCACTCTAAGTGAACGTTCTTTGTGTTCTTCATGGAGGCTAGTTTTAAACTAAACGAGCCATTTTTCCCATGGCCTACATTCTAATATTGGAATTTTCAAGGTTAAAAAAAGACAAAACCTATGGTATCATCATTGTTAAAAAAAACGTTAAACACTCCATATTTAAAAATAACAAGTTAAACTTAGAATGCAGGAAAAAGTAGCCAGTACTGAACCACCTCTGGTGACAAAAGCCATCCATCTGACGAAAATCAAGCACAGCATCAGTCAACCTGGAATCCTAGAAAAGGTTCAAGCAGTCCTCAGTTCTCCCACATTCATCTATAAACTTATCTGCATGATGTATGTGCATGCGTGAGCACTCCTATATGTGCTTTTTCTGAGGACAGTCTCTTCACCAGATTTTCAAAGTGGTCCATGTCCTAAGAAAGGTGAAGAATCACTAACAAGTCAACCCCGGTTTGTCTTGTTGCTCTTAATCTATACATTCCCTTTTAATCTAGTCCATTTTATTAACACAAATTAATGTTCTCTGTTCTATTAACAGTCACTTTTTCTGCTACTATATTAGCTCATATCCTTACATCACATACCCTTCTTCCAGGGCTCTCAATACCAGCAGGTCAACTAGAGTTTTCTTCCATGCCTGGCGGTAATTCCCTCCTTCATTCAGTATCCTTTGGACTTCATTGTGTGACTTACATAATAAAGCACTTACACTGGTAGGGTCTCCTAGTGCTGTGGTCTAATCCCACCACCCACACATCAATCAAGCACCTCCAGTGTACCAGGTACACTTCCAGATGCTGAAACAATGTAGTAAACAAAGTCCTTACCTTTGCGAAACTTTCATCTTAATGCAATATACTACATTGTATTTTCTCAAATCACTTAATGAATGAGTCAACTTTTTAAGAAGAATATCAACCACTTTCAGGCAAGGATAATTCTTATACATTTGATTAACCCTGTGTTAGACAATGTACTTGAAAATACTTTCACCCATGTTTCTTGGCTGATGTAACTAACTGGAAAACATTATTTACATTTTCCAAAAATACACATCAAAAGGTAATGTTTTATAGTGCAAAGGAAATACCTGCTAGTGAGAAAGATTTACCAGATGATATCTCCAGATAAAACAGTATTTAATTGAGATGTTTAATCCATTTCCACAACCAGTATATAAAGAGCAGGAGAAAGGAGACTGGAGAGAACCAAGAACAGAGGGCACAACAAAGACAGTGGTAATTTCAACCATGTGGTGCAGAAAATGTCTTTTTTCCTAGCGGATCATCTTTTAAGGATCATTCTTGATACAATTCATCTACCATTTCTTACAGCTTTGATCATGGAAAAGAATATATTAATGCCTTAAAACACAACTTAAAACATCAGTATAAACATTAAAAATTCAACTCCTTTATGAAATTTTCTTTTTTTTAAAACTATACACTGCGGATATCTTTTATACATAAGATAAGGCTGCTTCCCAACTAGAAATTTAAAAAATGTTATTACTTGATATTTGGATAATAAGTCAAGAATTTACTATGACTTAAGGTAAAAATTGGTAACTTTCTACACAAGAATTTGATTAAATAAATAACTGCTACTTAAGTAGTAAATAAGTAAAATTCTCCTAACGAGTATTAAAAAATGTACAGACTTCCTGACATGTTGCCAGAAGAAGAAAAGTTAAATATCATAGACTTTAAATGTCAATTTTATGGTTTGGGCTTATTGTAAACACATTTAACCATTGTCAGGAAGTTGGAGCAGGGCCTAAAAAGGGTGCAACAGCAATAACAACAACAAAAAGTGTTCATCTTAAAAATATATAAAGCACATAAAATATAAGTTTTATTTAAAAAAGCAAAAACAAGTATTAAACTGTTTTCCTGTGATACCTTTATCTTTCAAAAGGTGTATGTTAAAATAAACTTCCATTTACTGATGATTTTGTTTTAAATGGAGTTTAACCTACAAAATAAGCAAAACCCTTTAAATTCCTGTTGTACTTTTTAGTGATGGCAGAAGAAATGGTAGTGATGGGAATGGAATTTGGATTATAGATGGTAACTCTAGGAGGTGTACATAGTGAGGTGATATATTAACCCAAATAAGGTACGGCAAATATAAAAACTATATTAATAACAGATTTTTATATAGATTTATAATATTATAAATGCACTTTATAGCAAGTTATTCTACCTATATGAAAATACTTTATTGTAAGATGAGATCTATATGAGCCCCCAAACAATATCTCAGTTCCGTTTTTCCCCATGTTAAGAGAGGCGTCCCGACAGAACCTGATGCCCTGCACCTCTTCAAAAACACATGCGGCTCCAAGGGAGAATCCAGCGCCGCCAAAAAAGCAATGCGGCACTCCCCTCACGACCAGCTGGCTGTACGCTTCAAAATGTTTCAGAGAAGCTAGAATCTGGGCAGGTGAACTGGAAGAACTAAATACATATAATCATCTACCGCCCTTCTGTTTCACATTTTCTTTAACATATGCCTATGCCTTTCTGGAAGCAGTATAATTTGGATCGTGCCGTATCCAGAGTTCACTCGTCTACAAGGCGCTGTAACAGCGGACAAATCCCAGACTTGAGGCAAGACTGATCTCGCTCGGCTCACCCACACATAAGCTGTGTGGCTTTGGGTACACAATTTAATGCACACTCGTTTCGTAAAAAATACTTTTGACGAATATTGTGTAACACAGGAAAACACAACACATAAGTGCAAATACAAAACTACGTACAGATGATCACAATTCTGTTTTACAAACTAGACTACTTTAACCGTTCGCCAAACTTGCATCTGTGTCCGCGTTTGGAGTTGCGCCCTACTCACACATTCGGATGAACTACGAGTTACTGGTATCCTTTAAATTGACTTATAATTTTAAGGTTTGTACTATATTTCATGAAGTACTGAAAGTTTTAGACATGCCATTATTTTATTTTATGTACCACTAAGAAAAAAGTGCTACCAGATAAACTAGGATAGGCCACCAATTTTAAAAACATCCCAACTTTAAACAAGATAAAAGTAAAAGAAAATGATGGTGGGGGAAAATGGAGACAACTGTATTTGACAACAAAAACTGTGAAAAAGTGCAAGAAAATATGTCTAAGAGAATGAAATATGGTAACTTCTTTAACCCTGATATCCAAGAAATACAGGTTTGACTGGTTCAGTATAATTTTATTAATACACATTAAGTAAATACCTAGTTACTGGAGTAAAAATTAAAAATTTATATTCACATGCAACATACTTTATGGATTACTTACCTACATATATGGCAATTACATAATATTTTTATATCAGCTATATAAATACAGGTGCTTTATAGAGAGTACCTATTTATACAGCTTGTTTAGGTGTGTGTATATAAGGAATTGACTCAAGCAGGAAATGGTTTCTAACTTGAGTGTCATACTCAAAATCCTCCTTAAAAATATCCTAAATTACCCATTATATCACGCGTAGGTGCTTTTGTATATATAGCCCGGTATGGTGAGGTTTAAGAATTACCGAAACAGACTGACTGACTGCAGGAAGAAGCAAGAAGAAAATACGCGCACGGAAGTCTATGCAAACTCCCGCTTGCTTGTCGAGATGACACCACACAGTCTGACACTTAACGGTTGTAACTTTAATATGTGGGACTAATTTGTTGGAAATTGTGAAGACTAAATGAGATACAGGGCAACCCATCTTATCCACTGATTACACTCTAAATATAGCCCAGAAGAGAGGTGGGACAGATATAAAATCTTACTAAATTTTGGATTTCAGGACAAATTTTATCTACTGAAAATACAGATCAAGAGGTTCTCTTAATGCAAGCAAACAGGAAATTATCTGAAAGCTCTTATATGACGTCAGGTATTCCTTGAATACCATTTCTATCCTTGAAATAACTGGCCAGTATGTCAGCACACTGCCAGTTTTTAATAGGCCACAGTGTAGGATATAACTCCAGAAGCGTGTTCAGTTTTAACTGTCATCTATAAGGGAACATTCTCACATTCTGCTTTTGAAATTTCAATGCTCACCTTTAAAGTATTTCACAGTTTTAACTCTTAATTCTAAGGTAGCATCCTCATCACACACAAAAATAGTTCGTGGATGCTGCTGGAAAGCTGACACAGTCCACATGTGGCTGACTCCTTCTTCTATTGCTTTGTAGAGGGCAAACGCCTTGTGTGCGCCTGTTATGAGGATCATTACCTGAAAAATCATCAACGTCACTTGTTAATTCTTAAAACATTCTAAATGATGGAGATCCTCTGTCTGCTTTAAAACGACTTTAGCACCAATATTCTTGTAAGGGTAAAATAACAATAAATAGCTCCATATTTCTTCAAAGTGCAAGGTATTTATTTACTTCTGTTCTTTAAGGTAATAGGCAAATAAAAACCTGTGCACATTAAGCCCTACAATTGAAGATAAGAAAATCCTTAAATATGATGACCTACTTGTTTCAAAAGAATGCTACAAAAATATCAATGCACTGAGCCCTTGGGAAAATGACAAAGCCCGTGAACAGCTCTGCCAAAATGGTTTTCTTTATAATCATGCTGGGAGTGAACACTGTGACATAAATGGCCTCATGTAATTTTGTTGGAAAAAACTAACCCATGAAAAAAAAAACAACATTTGAGTTATTCTCTGTTCATTTTAAGAATCAGCATAAGAGCTACATTATAATTTAAATATTGTTAAATTTAAAGAAATATTTGTAAAACTTTCAGTTTCATATTTGAGAAATTAGATTGTTCTAAATCTGTTTTTCAACTCATTTACAAAATAAATTTCGGTCTTTAAAGGTTTTTCATATATTAATGAACTTTACATGAAAAACTACATTGTGAGTGACAGTTCCATTGGTAAGTTCAAATCTAGACATATTTGCGTCATGATGAGTTACATGTTAATCATTCTCTTGTCTGTAATTGTCCTCTGAAACTGCCCATCTGGCTGCCAGAAACAAAGGAGTTTAGGGTTTCCCTATAATTTAACCACTTATACCCATGAGTTGACTGTCCTGCTATTTTCAGGGAAGAAAATGATAGCCCACTTAAAAATTTAAAAATTAGGGTATACTGTTCAGAGATCTTGCCTTTTTAAAAATGTACTAAATTTAGAACAGATCCAGTCCTAGAGGAGTTCTTTTCCTGCTGGAAACCAATGTCCCCATACAGTCAGGAGCGCACAACACTAACTTATCCTGAGCCTCCAAAAGTAGCTGAGTATCATCTACCACTGCATCACTGCAACGCACAGTTCTTTACAAGAATATTCACTTAAAAACAGATAAATATAATCAGGGTGATTTTAGGGCCTCAAATTGTAAAGCAGGAGTAGGCAAGGGGAGGAGTACCCCAAAAGAGGTAGTGCCTAACTCTTAGTTTATAGCTCAAAAGACTTAACTTAGCTGAATTCTAAACATGGCAATAAAAAAAAGAAGTTACTGAAAGCTAGACAATTTAAAATGTGAAGAGGATGCAACCAAAATATAACTTATTAGGCACCACAATTCCTCCAACAGCTATTAATATCAAAGGAAAAAATGTTAATTCTTACTTCTCTAGCATCCATCACTGTCCCCACACCAACTGTTAGAGCCATAGTTGGCACCTTCGATAAATCTCCATCAAAATATTTAGCATTTGCCAAAATGGTGTCCATCGCTAGAGTCTTTAATCTTGTTCTTGATACTAAACTGGATCCTGGTTCATTGAAAGCAATATGACCATCTGGACCAATTCCTTGCAAAAGAAATACACACATACACATGTAGATAAGTAAATAAGGCTTTTGAAGTTCAACATGTCTTTAAAAACAAAGGAACAGTTATAATCATGCTTACCTTGTTTATTCGATAGCTGAATTTCCAATGCTGTATTAACATATCTGTTCCTATATGTATTTGCTTCAACAAGTACTTCAATGTTTTTTATATGCTTAGCATTGAGCTGGCATGATTCCATTAGCAGTAAAATTAAGTATGTCCTTATGTTAGAATACTTTACATTTATAAAGCATCTTCACATGTATCACCTCAACAGCAGATATATTTAACAATCTTGTGAGACAGGTTAGGCTTATCTATTTCTCTTACTGCCCCCAACCTTTTTAAACTCAAAAGGAAAGACTGCTGCTCAAGGATAATGTATGACTTGGATAGAGATAATGTATGACAAGGATAAAGTTAGCAATGCAGTAACTACTGAAACAACTGAAATCTAAATTTTCTGATGCCGACCCAGTGGTCTCTTTTTTTTTTCTCACACTTTAACTTGCTTGGTTCTAGTCTAGACAGGACAATTAACTCCTCCTCCTCCTCCTCCTCCTCCTCCCTGTAGTACAGTTTCCTCACTTATAAAAGTGTCTAGACTGGACAAGATATTTCCTAGGGCAGCAGTTTTCTTCAAACTTTTGGTTACTGTAAGCTCTTATAAGAAACACATCTGAGGCTTCAATCGAGTACATGTACACACCCATACACACATAAATATCATTAAAACAAGAACTACATGGAACAACAGCCTTGCTAGGAGCCATACAAGCTACTCTGGATTACATTCATTTGAATGTAGCTTGGCTTACATTCAAAACATACAAGAAGGAAATACTGCATGTGACTGACTATATTGATTTCATGACTTAATAGTGGGTGACATACAGTTTGAAAATACTGCTTCAAGGAGATCTGTCAGCTCTAATGTTCTAGGAGACATTCTTTATCTGAAGGATAATGCAGGTATACCTTTTTATAAAATCAACACTCTGTCTACAACACAATAAATCAAGTTCCATTTACATGTACCCTATTAACTAGTTGGATTTCTGGCGATCTCAATAAAAAATACACCCGCCAGATCTCTGAGTCAAAAATTCAGTTACATTTATAATTTGCATATTTACTTTAATGATACTGTATTTTACTGACTCTTTAATACACAGTTCTGACAAATTATTCCCAGGTGACAAGGTAAAACATGACAAAGAGTAACCTGGTTTTAAAGGAAGAAAGAAGAAATGAAAACCTTAGGAAGCAGATATACTACTACCAAAGCACAACAACCTAGGAGTTTTTAATGTGGAGAGATAAAGCCAGACCTACGAGTGGCTAATACATATGGGCTGTTTCCATTATTAAGTATATATCTGCTTGTGAAAACATGTTTTAAATAATAAATATGTATCTTTCTAGATTTGTAAAACTATCTTGTTTCACCTCTTAAATATACTTCTGCCCAAATATTTATATTTCTCCATGCGTGTATAAAGAGGAAAGGATGGAGCCAGGAAACTGGAAATTCTGGGGGAAACAGGAAGTCGTCCAGACCAACACTAGCGGTCTCCCTGGTGATTTGGGTCACATCCGAGTGAACAGCACTAGTTCTTAGTGGAGAAGGGTCCATGTATTCCTTTAATAACGATCAAAAGTTGAGCTTTCTGGTATAAAATGACAGTTTTCAAATGTTCATAGTGGTTTACAAGGCTTTATAAAACTTTAAAAAAAATAATCATGAAATCTAAAAGCAAGACTAATTCTTATTCGGTCTACGTCAAAACTAGGATATCAGAACCTTTATGAAACACCTCTAAAACCTCAGGTCTGGATTATGCAGGGTGGGACAAAAGTAGATTTGCAGATGTTTGCATGGCAAATAATACAACAATAAATAATAATACAAGAGCAATCTGTTTCACATTCCCACAACTGTAAACCTACTTTTGCCATACCCTGTATGTTTTTCTTGTGTCCCTTATAGTTTGTGGGGTACACTGTGAACTTCACAAGAGTAAAACTTGATCTTCTTCATCACTGTATCCTTACCATTTAGCTCAACACATGACACACAGGAGGTCCTCCCTAAATAATGGCTGAATAAATGAATGGATGGCTGCTGTCCTTGAATATGCTCATAGTTTCTCCCTGCTGCTTCTGCCCTGCTCTGCTCCCCTCAGAACAGGGGCTAGAGCAGTCCTAATACCTGCGTGTCTCTCAGGCAGAATGACTGTGGTCTAGGGTAAGTAGTTGTCCCCACCTGAAATAATCAGAATTTCTTTCTGGGGATTCTGAAACTTAGTGAGGGTTACTGAAGGAAGACAGGCATCCGGAGCTGAGGCAGCTGATGACAGCAATGCGGGAAAGGGAGGATGAGTCGTCCCTGCTTCAGAGATCTGAGGCTCCCCGGTTCTTGTTCTCCCAAAGACTTGGTTTCATTCAACTCTTCTCACCCAACAATCATTCCGATTAACTCAACTTTGACCCCATTAGTCCTTTAAGGCTACTTGCAAACCAAGGGAAGTAATACATTCTAATCATGTATCCAAAGGAATGTGTTAAAGTTTTCCTTACTGTCTTCTTTTATTTTCTCTTTTTAAAAACAAATTGTCTTATAATAAAGTTAACAATGCCTTTAGAGTGCTACTTATAAAATTCCATGTCTATGTACTTTATTGCCGCACGGGGTCAGGGAGAGCGTGATACACTTCCATCTCAGCACCTCCCTCATCAGAGGAAGAGTGAGACCCTTTGGGAGTGCCCTTCCCCTTCCCCTTCCTCCTGAAGGAAGGGGGCTGCTGCTGTGTTCTCCCACAGTGAGCACTGTGGCTTAAACATCTTAAACTCCCCACTTTGGCCTGGAGCACAACCTGCAATCTCTAATCCAACTTTACCTTTAATAAAGCTGAGATTTTGATCCCATTTGGCTCAGTTCTTAGTGTTTTTATTAACCAAATCCTGGAACAAAAGAAGGGTAAGTGGTAAGACCCAGATACCAAGCCTCATCTTAAAATTCCAATGATGAGAAACCTAGATCAACAAAGGCAAAGAATCAAATGAGATTCTTTCATGAGTACACATCCAATAATAGGGTACCAAACAGGTCAAAGTTTAAAGAAAATGAAATAAACTAACCATTCGTTCTGTATACACAGAGCAACTGTGTCCTTCGAATGGTAAATGCAAACTGTGGGACCCTAGACCATCACATGACTGCAGTGAAGATGCTAATAGCAGAGGCAAGGAAATCCTGTTGTTAAGGGTTTTTTTTCTTTTTTTGGCGGGGGAGGGGGGGACAAAAACTACAGAACGCTTAAGATAAAAATTGGTTAAAAAAAGAAGGTATAGTTCTTTTTTGTAGTAAAAGTGAATGATAATTATAATCTATACACTACTTACTCACGGGAGAAGTAAGGTGACTTATAGTGAGAAAATGAACCAGAAAAGGTTAGCGAAAAGGAAATGAGAAGTGACTTAAAGCTCTGAGGAGAGAAGAAAGCTCTACTGGAAATCTCTGACAAGGGAGATTAGATTCAGCCTTAAATATTATGTTAATCTATGGATGCTTTCTGGCAAGCAGGCGAAAGGATAAAGTAGAGTTAGAGTTATCAGTTTTTTCCCCAGTAAGTTCTGCTTCCTGACATGGAGTCCCTAAAGGATTTGACATATGGATCCTTCTGTAAAGTCAATAAAATAATAGGAAAAAAGTGTTCAATGAAGTAAAAAAATTTTTTCATGTAGCCATTTTTTATAATGAAAAAATAACTACAATCTTTTTTTGTATAACAGTTAAGAGAAAATACTTCATGATATAACTAAAGTAAACAGTTTAGGTATACTGTATAGCAGTAATTTTACTAGATTTTGGTACAGAATTTAAAAAATCTAAAGAACACAGGGGAAGTGCACTCCTTAAACATTTTCAAGTATCTACTTCCTTAGCCTTGATATTTGCAAGTGCAAATAGTAATTATCTCAGAATTGAGCCAGATGGACAAAAGTGAAGTGCAAATGTTTTCCAGGAATCCTGAGGTAATATGAGCAAATTTTATTTAAAATGCAAATAACTTTTCTATTTTGAAAAGCAAAATAGTGTAAGTTGGACTCTTGCTCAAATAAAAATCATTCTATCTACACGAGAAAGTAACTGATAGTGGTTCTGCTGGGCAGAGATAAAACTTCCCTTAAAGAGAGAACTTTAATCTTGCCAGATACCTTTATAGGTGGGTTATTCAGTTTAAAAGCAAGAAACGTAGTGAATTAAGGAACAATTATTTCAGCATCTACAGTTCAGAGAGAAAAGACTGAAGGAACACTGAATAGAATACCCACTACATACCAACCACTGCGCAAGGCATTTTATACATTTTAACACAGTTAGTGCTCACACATTTTGGAATGGTTAACATTAATCCTGCTTTACAAATGACTTCATTACACTGAACCTCAATTAACTTCCCAAAGTTATACAAATAACAAGTGGCCAAAACAGGATGAAAATTTATGTTTGACTGGAAAACCCAATTTTTCCCAAGGGCAACCAACTGACTCAACCATAGTTGGCCACCTCAACCATAAATTAACCTCATACAGTTCCAGTGAAGAGCTAATTCATGTAATTTTCAGCAGTCTTCTAATAAGTTAATTATAAGATACATCCAAAGAACTTAATGTTAATTTTGAGCTTCAGTATGTTTAGTTGAATACTAAAGAATCTGCCAAAAAACTATTTTAGTTTCCGTGTAGTTGATGTTATTCTGATGTTAAGACACTATTTTGTTGGTAACAAATCAGCTGTCTCAAATGCTTCAAACTGATGACAGAAAACTAGGTTGTTATCACGAAGGAAGAAACTCTTCACCTATTTTCGGTGGTAGTTATACACACTCAGACATCTCCACACATAAGTTTCTAGTGGAATTAGGCAGTTCAGCATTTGATAACTTTGGTAGATTATGAAGATAATCACACTGCTTAATATTAACCAAAGGCTGCTGATAATAAAATCTTACATCTTTCTTACCTAATTTCTTAGTGAGATAGAGCAAATTAAGTGACTAGTAGAGAAATGCTAAAATCCACTTGTTCCACATGTGACTTTTAGAAATTTAACCCCCTTACAGGACAAGAGGCTGGGTTGGTGTTAAAAAAGAACAGAATAAGACTATCGTTTAGGAAGAGAAACTCAGGAATCGGGATCTGTTTCTCAAACATAAGATTATTTTTTGATGAAAATAAGGTAAAATAGAAATCAGAAGCTGAGCAAATGTGTGTTATAGAAGACACAGGTGTTCTTCACACTAAGCAATGGTGAGATTTTTTTTTATTCACAGCACCTTAAGCAAGTATTAATAAGACTAACGACAAAATGTCATACATACCTCCAACAAAGAGATCAATTCCCCCAGCTTCTTTTATTTTCTTCTCAAATGCATCACATTCTGCTTGTAAGTCTGCAGCATTTCCATCAAGGATATGAGCATTATTAGGATCTATATCAACATGCTTAAAAAAGTTATTCCACATATAAGAATGGTAGCTTTCCGGATGATTTCTGGGAAGTCCTAAATATAAAGTTAGTAAATATAAGTGTAATTATTTTCAGAAATAAATCTAAAATGTACTTTTCTGATTAAGCTTTCAATGCTATTTAAAATATATAATCTTTCTACACCACATTCAACATAAAAGCATTTTTATGTGGAATATATGCCAGGCATAATTTTAAGCACTGTACATGTATGCTAACTCAACTTGTACGTCTATAAAAATATCGTCATTCCTATTTTACAGGTTTACAATAGAAGCACAGAAAAGGTAAACAGCTTTCTTACAGTTACATAACTCATAGAGGGGCTGGAACTCAAACACCAAAGTCTAATTCATGTGCATTTAGTCACTAGATTCCATTTGTCAAACATGCAAAATTTTAACCAATGGAACTGATGTGTTAAACTTAATGTAAATTAACCACACAACTAAAATGATGGTCCATGTTCCTCCTATATTCTTCCTATGTGCCTACAAAATATATTGAATCACAAGAGTTCTTGGCTATCACTTAGGCTACCAATAAACATGTTTTATTATATGTAAATGTTAGCACTGTTTATGTGCATCACAGATCTTTCAAGTTAAGCAAGTTAACAATCAATAAATTATAAAAAATTTAAAGCTACAAATATAATAGCCTTAAACTTACAAAAATCTTTATTTTGCTAATTACTTTTATATTGATATATTACTTTATTCCTCACAAGAAGACTGTTCTTAACTTTGCCTTCAGGAAAATATTTTAAAAGAATAAGAAATGTGAACAGATTAGGTAAAAGTTATGAGATTAGTAAATTTCAGAGATCAAGATGGATACAGACCTTCTGATTCTTAGTCCTATATCATTCTATTATGTTGTGCTATTATTGCAAAAATACAGACTTTTTATAGTAAATCCCCAACCTCATCATAAACTATATATTATACTCTAGAAGTATATTCATATTATATTGAAAACATAACTGCAAATTACATGAAATATTCTCAAAATATATTCACTTTACTTAAAAATAATATATATAATATATCCAAATAATATATTTAAAAACATAGCTTACCTACATACTCATCCATGTTAAAGGTCTTCACATATTTAAAAGAAAGGTCTCCATTTTTGTGATATTCTATTAGTTTTTTATAACATCCTAATGGTGTACTACCTAAAACAGATAAAAGTTATATTTTCTAACATAACATAAATTTAACTTAAAAGTTTACATTTTAATCCTATATCTCTACTATAATAGGCAAACAATTCTTAGTATCTAAATATGTACTCAATTAACACATATATAATTAATTAGTCTCTTTTGAAGGTATCTCTTCAGATATTTTATTAAACTAGAATGTGCTGATAAAGTTGGAAATCTGTCAATAGAAATTATAGTTCAGAAAATTATTCTTGAGTTGTCAGGTATTTGGAATTAGTATATATATTCCAAGATTAGAGACTTTTAAAACATTTGCATTTAAAAAAAATCTACCTCTTGAGAAAAAAATTTAGAGGATTTGTAGTCTAAAGGATATATGAATGGATCAAGTGTTGACTATGTATCCAAATCAAAAGGATAATCAAAGCCAAAATTAAATACTGTCCCTACCTACTTTCAAAATTGACTCTGAAACTGGCAAGGATTGAGTAAGGAAACAGCCTTCAAGTTTTTAACTGGACTTCCCGTTCCTCATTTGTTATGTGTTATCTTCAGCATGTATCAGCAGAATGCATATGTAAAATGACTTCCAGGAAACGGGATCTTGACTTTGGGTACTTCATCTGAGTCCCTAATTTTATTGTTTTATAAATATAATTCTTTATATGGTCTATAAAATTAAAAGAATTTGTTTAAATCCTTCATGATATGGTACAATAAACTTAAGTCAATTTAGCCACTTGAGAATGGCCTCCCTTTATTTTCTGAATACACTATACTTTTTCATCTAGTTACAAACTGGAAGGTGGGATTGGCTGCATTCTAACAGCAAGTGCCCTGGTCTTTCAATTCTGGGTTAGAGTGTCGATTCCTCGTCCACCCATCATTGCAAAACAAAGTACCTGTGCACAAAATGTCTACTTAAGTGGTAGGCAGAACTAAACAGTCTCTGGCAAAAAATAAAGTGTATATGTTTATACATATAAATATATATATATATATACACACATGTGTGTATATGTATATATGTACATATATACACATAGAAACAAATTCTATAGTAAAAGGACAGCCTCTCATTTGAGAATAATAGATGTGGCTGTAAATAATAAATATCATATGGACAGATTCAGAGAACAAAAGACTAATAGATTTTCTTAAAGTTAGGCATACACATTGCTTTAAAATGCAATTAATAATTTAAAATTTATGTTGTCAAATTTTATGATTCCTTCTCAAAGAACCTCAGCCCACTAACATGAAAAATGGCTAAAAAATGGATAAATATGCTTTTCCCTCTTTCCTCTAAAAGCGTAAGTATGCTGGGTCTATCTTTCTATAACTATGTCTATGGAAATCCCTCTTAATTTAAGGATATATAAATTAAAAAGTGAGAAATTTTCACAGTAGTGAAAACAAAAAAAAAAACATGCATTTTCCCACTTTTAAATCAAAGTGGCTAAAGAAAAAAAACCAGAAGATATGGCACAGGGTGTACCAATTTTAAAAATTCATTTAAATATTTACTTTGCAATACTCAGTAAAAATTAATATTTAGCAAGAGCTTACTATAATTCTGATAAAATAAAGATTAAGACTGTTTCTATCCTAGGAGAACTCAAAAGATGGGGCGGCAAGCACAGAGTAACTTTAACACAGGAAAACTATTAAAAATAACCTATAAGAAGTCCAGAGAACTTGTAACGAATCCAAGAAAACTTGGTCTTGCTTGTTGGTGGAAGGATCAAAGAAGATGACATTTCAACTAAGTCTTGAAGGAGCGGAGTTCCAATAGTCCAAGAGAAGGTAAGGTGCAGTGGAGAACAGAAAGAAATGGGGGAGGAGGTTCAAAGACAGCCTTTGTATGCCTTCCATGTGCTAGATACAATACTAATGTTTTCATACATTATTAGCTCATGTACACCCCAAAACCTTGGGAAGTTGGCATTATCTTTCCCATTATGAAGATAAAAGAATTGGGTCAAAAAAGATTCAAGAATCTGCTAAATATCACATGGCGGTGAAGCCAGAGATCCAATAGTTTGTTTGGTTCCAGAGCTCATATAGTTTTCATTATATAACACACTAGCAACATGAGTTAAAGTAAAGCCAGCAAATTCAGGCCTATTCTTTAAACTAAAAGCAGGCTAATTTTCCTGTCATGATTCAGTTCAGGGGAACAGTGGGAATAAGTCAGGGAAGTAGGCCAGGCCTATAGCACTCAGGCCCTTTAATGTCAAGCTTGTTAAAATCACTTCAATAAATACACTGAGCAGATATATCTCGGAAATCGTGCTTGGTTGGAGGGTAATTACAATAGAGCGTGATACTTGCAATTACAGAAACGTGTGCTCACATTTCGAAAGCACGGAGAATAGGAGGTATGATTAACACTGTCAATGGCCAATGGTCCATGAAGGAGAAAAGCAGGAAAACACCACCGATGGTTTTCCAGAGATACATTTTTGTCAGGCACATTACTAGGCAGCAATACTAGCCAAAACAAAGCAAAAGTTGTATATCTAAATACACAAAAAATGTTTAGCACTGTTGGCAGTTATGACTCTGAAGCCTGTCTGCCCTCACACTCAAATTACGGTTTATTTCTACATCATACTTAAGCCAGAGTGACTAAGTTAGGTGGCCTGAATGTAGCACAGGTCTACAGTATGCAAACTGATAAGAAAGCCATGGTTCAACCACCGGAGCTCACATATCAGAACTGTGGTTGCTGGGAAGGCCCAGCAATGGGGTGTACGGTTGTATAAAGTGCCCCTCTGCCATTTGCCATTCTCATCAAGATCTACTGCACTGGACCAAAAAACAAAAGTAAAACAACAAACAGACAAAAAAAGTCAACTTCATAAACTAAAGATTAGCTTTCATAAAAATTATGCAAGTGCAAAAAATATTATGATTGTACATTTTACGTGGTTGGCATGTGTTGGGAATGGGGAGAACAGGAGGAGAAAGTACTGTTTAAATAAAACACATTTATGGGAACTTTAAATTTATATAGTATTTGTAGTATACAAGGGACTTGCACATGCACTCTTATCTATGCTCAGAACAGACTGTAAGCTGTTGTTGTCCTTATCTTTCCAGGAGGTAAAGAAATTGAGGACCAGGAATGTAGAACAAATGCCTTGCAGAAAGCAAGTAGCAGCTCTGATTCCAGGTCCACTACTGTTCCTGTGGGAGTCTACAATATCAAATAAAGTGCCACAGTGTCAATGACGCTACTTGGTTATTTTTCTAAGAAAAAACTTGACAGAGAACTAAATTCAATGAAATATGTAATGAATGCTTATATTTATTGTCATGAAAACATACCAATCTGTAATTTTCACTTAGACTACTTCTATAAAATAAAGAAAATAAACAGAAACAGCAAAGGGCTAATACGACAATATGAAGCAGCTAAGGTGAAAGTAACAGGCAACGGCACATACTCTAGGTACCTCTTTGTGGTTAATAGGAAGGATAATCTAATAGAAATTTTATGAACAGTGAAAGTGACATCCCTAAAACAAACAAAAACTACAAGCAAAAGGTACAAAAATACTATGACCATCACTTAAGTTAGGGGATTTCCTTCTGTATTTTGGAGTGGGAGGTGAGACAGAATTTAAACAAAATATAGTTACAAAATATAGATGCTAGATAGACAGATGATAGATAAATAGATAGGTAGGTAGATAGATTTCTGGCTTTATATACTAATACATTCAATCAGTGATATGATAAGAAATAAATGAGAAACATTTTATTAATGGAAATCCTTCAATCCCATAACTTCAAATATCTAAAATGGGGGGAAAGGTGCATTACCTGTTGGTAAACCCAGGGTGAAGTATCTGTCCTGTCCAGGTTTGAACTGGATGATGCGATTACAGATGTATTTGGCTGCCCATTCACTAGCCAAGTCATAGTTATCGAGAATTACAAGCCTCATTACGGTGATGCACAGCTTCTAGAACAAGAAGTTCAAACCTGAGAAAATTCCACTGCAGAACCCTTGAAATAACTTACAGACACTTAAATAGAAGTGTAACAGCCTGATGAATTAAAAACAGACATTACTTAAGAAAGACACACACGAATACAAATACATGTATTTGTATTCATGTGCTTTGATAACAGTAGTAATAGCTGTTCTCTTTTAAACAGACCTTGGTTTCTGGGTCATTTTAGTACATATAATAATCCTAACAACAATCTGCAAAAGTAAATATAATGCCCAGTTTTGGATGAGGACAGAGACTCACACAATTTACACAGTTACTAAGTGATGAAGCCAGAATTCTTATCAAGGAAAATTTAGATAAATAAAGACACTACATTGTCTCTACAAGGATACTGTATGAATCAACATAAAACAAACCTAAAGGCAAACAAGGCAGTACTCATTTCTTGATTGCAAGTTAATGGTGTAATGATTACTCAGCAACTTTTTGGTTATTTACTAACATCCAGAATTCTCCCTATAAATAATATAAAAATCAAACTTCCCTTTATTAAATAATGTTTTTATAAAAATGATATTTGGACTTTAAAACTTTTTCAATCAATGTAGAAAGGTAGAAAAAAGTTCAAAAAATCAACCCAAATCCTATGACTCATAAGTAATTCTATTATTATTAGGCTTACATCTTGCAGATATCTGATGCACACAAGTAAACAGAATGTATAGAAATAATTTTTAATAATGGGATCATACTATACATGCTATTTTTGAGTGTTTAAAAATACTTTTATTTGAGATGATTAAAAATTTTTTAATTAGATTTATTGAGATGACATTGCTTAATAAAATTATATTGATTTTTGACATACTATTTTTAATAGATATCATAGCACTAAATTTTCCCTGCATTCAATAAAAGAAAAACAAAGTGAACTAAGAAACTGCTGATCTTTGGGAAAAATTTCTTCACAAAAAGCAATTTCAGTTCCTAAAAGAGTACTGTACAGTTAACAGAAATTATACAAATATTAAAAGAGCAGAGTCATTTAAAAACTATATGCTTCCATTTTAGACAATGTGGATTGACCTAGTATAATGAAAGGAAAAATTGCATTGTTACACTTTCTTACATCCTGATTTCTGTAAGATGTATCATTTTTGTATTGCCAAGATTTGTAACATTTACACTGTAACCATAATTTCCACATTTTAATTCTCAAGTTTTCTATTTCTATAATCCCAGATTTAATTTGGTTTTATATTTACATGGATTTGTCACCCAACCAATCCTTTCAGAAACTGCTTTAGCAGCAGAAGTCCTGAATTCTGTACCCACACGCTTTACATGGAATAAGAAGTCAACTTCTTTAAATCCACAGGGGCAGGTCACATTACAATGAATATACAGAACCTAAACAAGGTCCTTGGGAACATAACAATTTAGGCTTCTGGCATAACAACAAAAATTATGATCACTAACATCTGGAACTCTGGCACAGTAACAAGAGGTAAATAGCGTTTGCTTATTTAAAACATAGATTCCCAGGTCACTCTCACTGAACCCCATTTCTGAAATGGGGTTCCAGGAATCCCCATTTTTACAAATAGCATATCTGATTCTTTCTAACGGGTTAAATTTGGAAAAGAACCCCACACCGCACTAGATGGCTGCATTGGAAAGAGGTTCAAGTAAGTCAGATCAGGTACAGGCAAGTTTTGTCTATTTTTTAAACTGTCTGGAGTCCAAAATGAATCAATTCACCCAGAGAAAAGCAGAAAGGTTTTGCCAGAGTTGTGCATGCAAATTAGGAAATGTGTTTCTGCCAGTCCTCAGAGATCCAAACTTCTATAGCCCTGGGCCATTTTCTGGCATCACAACCAGAGAGCTCTGAAAAAGTGACACAGCACCACACCTTCCTTCATCTTCCCCAGGTGCTGATTCATTTTTGAAGAAAGGGCTGCTGAACACAAATCTCAGAACTTTAGAGCTGGGTGGGAACTTCTACACGACTTGGGTTTCACGGGCAGCGTAGGATCTATGCTAGAATCTAGACTTCCAGGGTCGCTGCTGCGGGCTTCTTCCCTACATCACACAATAGCTAACCTGAAAAGGTCCCAGAAGCCCGGACCAAGCAGAGCACCAGCGGGGCGGGGTGCCCGCTCCCAAGGAGGTGCCCTGGGCAGCAGAGAAGGGTGTGGTTTCTGCCAAAAAGAAAAAAAGAGAAGAGTCTGGGGCTGCAGACCCACTTACACTGCGCGGTTGCCGGGCCCAGACACTCCAGAAACTCCAGAGACAACCAAGTGAAGATGATTTAAGAATTTTTGACAAGTGTCAGAGGAAAGCCGCCAAAGAGTAGGCGCCAGACGGAAGCCCCTTCCCTGAGCCCAAAGTGTGACCTGGAGGACCAGCCAAGTTTGATGCTGGTCGTCCTTCCTCCTCCGCCCCGTCCCCGCGCGCCTCGCGGGTCCCCGGACTCCCCAACGACCCCGGGGTCCGCCTCCCTCTCTCGGTACCAAGCGCAGCCGTGGGGACAGGGACCAGCCGGGTCTTACCGCCCGACTCTCCTTCTTGGCCAATATCCCTGGACTCACCCGCTCTTCTGTCCCACCCGCTCTTCTGACGCTCGAACAACCAGAATGGCCAGCACTTAGCAGCCCCCGATCGGCCCGGGACCGCAACTGGAGCGCGAACCCTAAGACCCGGATGCAAAACGAGAGGAAGGGAAGGTGCCGAGGCCTGCGCGCGGTGCGCATGCGCAAGCTCCCGCTCGCTTGGGATGGATGGTGTAGAGACCTTTAGGGTTCTGCGCAGGGGGCAATCACTTTCAGCGTGGGAGTCTCCCCCTGGCCTCTATTCCCCTGCCCCTCCTTTCTTTTTCTCTCTCAGAGGTTGAATTGCGATAGATTGTTTGGGTTTGTGAGATTTAGAACGTCGAGCTTACTGACAGTGCTCATTCAAAACCATTCTTTGGTTATTGCTCAATAGGGATTCGTCTGTCTTAGACCGAAGCAATTGGGTGTCCTCTACTTTGCAAGCACAACTATGGCTAAGAGCTTTTCATTAACAAGCTCATTAAAGCTAAGTTTATTAAGTGCTGCTGAAGGCAAACATATTTACAATGGGAAACCTTGGAGTGGCTCAGTAAAAGTAAACCCAGAAAGAGATTTTAATGAGATTTTTAAGGCCTTATGCTGAATGAGTCTGAAAATGTAGTAGAGGAAATAGAATCAGATCTTTATTCAGGAGGGGGGAAAAAGGAAGCAGGGCTAGGGAAGCGGCGGAAGCAGCAATCACTCCGAAAGAGGGTTGTGTGGCTTCCCTATGCCCCGTTAGGAACCATACAGTCTGTCATTAGCATAGAGTGACAGACGATCTCGAGGTCCTGTTTCCTTGGACACTAGAAAGTGAAGGAGAATGTGTAATGTAGCGTCTCCAAATTCTTCATCTGACGTTCTGTACCTGGGTTGTAAATCCAGCTTCACTGGGTCAAATGACACCCCTTGCTTGCACTCTTTAGCCAAGAATAGGATGCTCCATTCTCAATGATATAACTTCGAAGAGCAAATTTTCTTATAAACTGGTATTAGAAAAGTTTCTTAGCACTATAGCATTTAATTAGATTAACAAAAACAAACAAACAAAAAACAGTTTTTAACACCTTTCCAGGACTACAATGTACCATTTAACAAAAATCTATTGTGTATTTACTGTGGTCAAAAGACGTGCAAGTAATAAGAAGAGCTTTACATGGAATATTATTGGAGCATAATGGGATGTTTAAGAATGCATTCTTTCCCAGGAGATTTGCTTCTTCATGGGTTCCTGACACTAGAAAAGCAAGTTCTGCTCCTTCCTGCTATAAGTACTGACTATTGTTAACTCTGCTGTGATTACACTATATCATGTTCTGTCTGCCTTTTCTCTAAGTTGGTGTTGCTTACCTCTTGGAACCCAAATGCCATGATCTTTGTACCAAGATTAAAGCAAGTAGTTACTTCTATCAAGAACAAAATATTTAATGCTAAATAGAAAAATTATGGTTGAGAAAGGCCAGGATATGTAAGCTGAGTCATTCATTTGTCCATTCAAGACCCTATTATGTACCAGACATCAGTATGAGTAAGACAGACACACAGCCCTTGCTTTCAGTGAACTAATAGTTTTGTGGGGTACAGACATCACCCAGTTAATCCTAATAAGGCAAAGTGGTCTCAATCATGAGATTCTAATTGGGATATGCCTTTATGTTTGGGGTTACCCGAATGTCCTCCAGATAAAACCCCAAGAAATGAATGGCAAGACTAATAGAAAGGTCCTTAACAAAGGTTTTAGATGAAGGGTTTTAATAAACTTTCACTCAAGGACAGACTTTGAGTGGCATAGAAGCAGTAGAGTAGAGGTGGCTACATAGGTGACAGGATCATATGCCTGATAAAAACCCTGGTCTACTACAGGTCACAGAGAGGAACATCAGACAGCAGTCACATGCTGTGATCCAGAGTAGCTGATATAGAGCTTCAGTTAACTGACACAGAACCTGAAATGGTGTTTCAGTCAATGTGGATTATACAAAGGAAGCCAATGGATGAAGGAAGTTTCAGCAGATACCAGTTGGGATATATGCTTAAAACCACAAACCACAGGGAGAGATACTTATCCATTGCAGAGAAGAGAAAATGATCCCAGAAGAAATGTATTGATGTAGACACCAGTAGCCTCCTCACACTAGATGCCATCCTGACTTGAAGGTTGGGAAGAGTGATACAGATGGGGGACTCAAATGCTGGAAACTTTTTAGTTTCAGGTAAGAACTAATGAGCTTAGTAATCAATGTATAGGAAAGAAATTGTTTCAGGAACTGAAGGTATGACCCACTTTGACTTCAAGAGACTATAAGCAGTTCCACCTTTGTCCTCAGGAGGACTGCAAGCCATCAAGATGGTATCAGAGCCATTGTAATCCAGGGTGAGATGACCACTGCCCAGGGCACAGATTAAAGACCACCACTCAAGACAAAAATTAAAGAATGCTGCAGTTTTATATCTGATTAACTTTTCCCCTGAATTCCAAACCCCTTACCTATACTTTTCTTCTCCTTGTAAAAAGGGTCAATTTAAAATGAAATTTAAGATGGTCTGTTAGTGTACAAACCCACCATATTTTAATCTTGCCAGGCATTTGAATAAAGCGTCCATAGAGATCTAATCCCTGTCTCTGATTATTGGGTTAGGTAGGTGACAGGTAGCACAGATGCTGGCTTTTCCAGTTTCAATATCGACGAATGACAGAACTTAAAATGACTAAGAAAGCATTAAACAATTAAGTGAACCTGAAAACAGCTGGTTTAAGTTTCTTGCTCATGTGAGTCTTGAGAAAAAGATTTAAATAAAAGTTATATTAATATTAATTAGATAGATATATTAAACTGTTATATAGATATATTAAAATAAGAAATGGCTTATGGGAATGTATGGCATATGAAATTTTTGTATGTTACAAAATATTTTAGCAGGGTATACCATGACCAGATGTGTACGCAAAACAAGTATCACCCTGTATGCCTGCAAAGAACAGACTGAAGTGAGATCAGAATAGATCAGGGTAAGCTGGATTTTGCCACTAAGAAAATACAGAGGGGAGCCCTTGAAGTCCAGGAAACAGCTTGCCAAAGGGATGCAGGCAAGAAAGTAAAATGCGCGCATGTGGAATTTTGAATTACTCTCATGTAGCTAAGAGCTGGGTATGTTTCAAGCAGATTCAAGCAGGAATTGAATCTGGAAAGAAAGGTCAAGAACTGAAATATCTTGTAGACTACATGTAGGAGTTACACTTTGTATTCTTACAGACTCTGTGTAGAAGTTAAACTTTATATTGTGGATGATGGGTAGACACTTAAGCTTTACGAATGCCACGAAAGACCAGCAGATTGTGTTTGAGAGTAGGAGGGGAGTGGGGCAGCCTCGTTTTGCATTTTTCCCAGCCCAGCCCTAGCATTAAGCATTCACTAATGACTGATAGTTTTGTTATTTTTAAAATAAAAAATGGGTTCTATTTATCAAACACTCTGCATCTATGGAAATGATGGTATGGTTTTCCATTTTAGTCTGTTGGCGAATACAGCGATTGATTTTCAAATACAAAATATATCTTGTGAGGACCAAAAAGGGGTCTGCATACTAAACCTGACAAGCTCAGGGGAGGCCTTCACGGTTGCCTTACAAACTCGAAGACAGAATGTAACCTTAAAGGGTGATCTGAAATTAAAACGTTCTGACTAAAAGCAGGTGTCAGACAGTAGTCATGGCGTAGGCCAATATCTTCCTTGACAAAGGTCAGTCTTTACCTCAACTGAGCCTGTCTGTTGTCTTTTTGTATCTAAGATTACATACCTGTGAAGTGCCAGAGTCATCTCCTTTTCCAGACCGCGTAGGGCACACCTACTGCACCAGAACAGGGGACCACAGAACTGGGCATTGTTATTTTGTTCAGCGCAAAGCATCTCTGTGTGCTGTGAACGCTGATTGTTAACTCTCCTTATACCTACCACTCTAAAAGTACTGTGTGTTTTACTTTTTATCCAGTCCCAGAGATTTCCCCCCTTTGCTTTCTCCTGTCTCCCTAATCTATCACCGGAGGATTTCATGTAACCCTCTTACTTCTCCTTTGATCCTGATGTATATAAAAAGGATAAAACTGCCATCTTCCAGAGCATTTTCTCAATCCATTGAGATCTGTCATGAGTTTGGCTCAAATAAGCTCATAAAAATTCTTACAGTTTTGGGAGTTTTTTCCATCAACACTTGCATTGCTGAGATAAACTTGATTTGGCTATGATTTTGGGGGGTGGGGCCATGGTCATGGTCTTTCAGCCAGAAGCAACGAAACATTTGCCTGTGAAGTTGTGAACAAATGCCACTTTCTCCCTGGGTGTGGCTTTAGCACTACACCAGAGTTCTGAGTTGGACACAGTAATGACAAGCCTTTCAGCAGCTTCTTGGGAGGCTCTTTCTTTTACCTTAAATAGAAGGATTAAGTAACGGCTATTATTTGGAAAGGAGCATTTGAGTGTGCTCCAGACAGGTTTTGTTCCCCCTACCCCCAACAAGGCTAGCACTGATCTGGGAATAGACAACAGACTAGCTAGGTAAAACACACACTTTTAACCATTGTTAATGATATTCAGACAACTTTCATGAATAACCCCTCTTCCTCTAGGTTGCTGAAAGTCTTCAGTCAATCTCTAGAATTCTTAAGATGTTGATTTTGATAGTTCACCAGTTTTTTCTTTGCTTTTATGGAGAAGCAAATTTTGGGGTATCCTTACCCTTACATTTTAGCTGGTCTCCTCAATTGATTCTTTTTTGAGTGATACGTGATGGTGTGTTTTTCAAGGAACTTTGAAATTTCTCTTGCCAAAATTATTGGCATAACACTGTTTGATCATATTTCTTTCTTAGCTGTGCAACCCATAGTGAATTTCCCCACACTCATTTCTCATGTTGATCAATTGTACCTTCATTTTTTTCTTCCTAATCACTGTGTGCGGATGTTTATTAATTTAATCTTCTCAAGGAACTAATTTTGGATTAATCCAGTTTCGCATTGTCTTTTGTTTTCTATTTCATTGATTTCTATTGATATCTCATAAGCTTTGATAACTCACCTTTTCATTTTCATTTAGCAGAAAATTTAATTTCTTTTTTGATTCCTTCTTGACCCGTAGGT